TAGAATATAGTTAACCCTTTGCACTCCGTTGTCGCCGTATTTGCGACATTAAAATGTTAACATTAAATCCACTGTCGCGGCTACAGTAACTCGGTTGTTTTACTGACTCAGCGCCCTTTATAAAATAGCTAAGAAATAAATGTTTTGTTTTATTGCAACGACTCCATTCTTCTTCTATATCACAGGTGTATGTACTTGTAACTAATATAGTGCTGGAGTTATTGGTATCCTCTATGAGTTACTAGGCTGGAGTGCAAAGGGTTAACCCTTGGTAACCTTGGTAAATGATAGTTTAATATACTTTTTACTGGGTACAGAGGAATAACACCTGTCTCCTCAGGAAAGGCAACGCATGGGAAATATCATGGGCGAAACAGTATACTCTGTTATGTCCATGGTACTGCTCATTTCTATAGGCGACGGTTACCACTTTCCATCAGGTGGGCCGTCAGCTTGTTTGCTATTCTAAGTTGTATAAAAAAAAAAAAATACTTGATTCGAATTGAGAAACAAAACGTTCGACTGTACTTATTATATGTATAACGCAATATCTTTACTGAGCGTGAATCATTTTTAATTTTTTAAGTTTCTGGCAAATAAATTTCATTTCACTAATTATTAGCTACTTTCATATTGAAATGGTTAAATTTCTGGATGTTTCTATGTATTTATTACATCATCATAGTAACCGTTTTTTTTTTGTTGGATGAAAATGGATTGGTAACTTCGCTTGCGCTAACGGGATACGCTGGCGGAGCACCAGTGAAGGGTGATCCATGAGAATGAAAACAGGCCCGTCAGCCTATCATGATGAATTCATCAGGAATTAATCATGATACTTTCCAGGGGGAACCGCGTGGAGGTCGACCCGGTTAGGTATATTGCTAGCAATGGGATTTTTAGTCTCCATTACTAACAATCCCTTTCCCCCCATATTAACCGTTAACTGTTGAACTGTCCACTGTTGAACATAGAACTTCCTCATATGGGGTGTTTCGTCAGTAGTTGCTACGCTTGGCAGGCGGGTTAGTAACCGCAGTTGGGCTTTTAGTGATATCTTAAGAGGGACTGGAAAGAAAAGGGTGGCTCATTCTATGCCGGGACCACAAAGCAACATATTACATGTATGTATTAAATAAAGTATTTCAGCGCGTCTGTCTCATTTAGGTAGATATGACGGAGATATCGTCATAGTCGTAGAATACTGATGGATATATATATATGTAATATTCGTCAGATCCGTCAGTATTCTACGACTATGACGATATGACTGATCGGCAGTCTGTCAGTTGTCCAGTCTCCATAACACAAACTATACATAGTTTACAACCAGATAACGCTACGTATAATGATATAATATGATTAAAGAACAATAAAATTTGATATAAACGTAGTATTTGAGATGGAGAAGTAAGGCTACTTTCTATTCCGATTACACGGACAAAGACGCGGCCACAGACAATATAATATGATATCTATGTCACGTAGACTTGTAACTGATAACGGGATTAAATTTTAGGGTGACATTTTGCATAATATACCTATAATTCATAAATAATTATCACCGCCTACCTATTAGCTGTATCATTGCTAACAATGGAAAATATGTACCTTATCTTTACATTATAAAGAGAGTAGACCGGACTAATACAACATTGTTAGGCAGAAGATAGTGAATTTAAAATTTTACAAATTTTTAACTTAATTTTGGACACGAGTGCGTTCTCAAAAGAAGAGGATACGGCCAACACTGGACAAATAATTTAATACAGTCTTAATACTTCTTTACTGCAGTACTAAAATTTGCTACCTTAGTCCCCTTTCACGTAATCTTAGATGCAATAATTTAAGATTGTATATAAAAAAAAAAAGACTTCAATTGTGGCAAAATAAGTTATGTGGATTGAAAAACTAAGCTACTGAACCGACTTTTAACTACGACGTTAAACTTCTACGAAACTTATTTATAAGTAAGTCCTTTTAGAAAAATAAAAAAGTATTTTACAAATCGGTTTACATTTGATGGAGTTATGAGTTAATAAACATAAAAAAAAAAAAATAAGAACCTCTTTTTTTAAGTCCGCTGAAAAGGAGTGCTATTACTTGTATATTTACTCTGTTACAAAACTGACAAATTAACAGATAAATTCTACAGTAAATGTACAGAAAATGAGATCATAACGAAGTATATTAGGGAATTAGTTATCTAATGGGAAAAGTAGGTAAACGTTTGTATAGAAGTCGGTTAATCGCAAACTTTAAACATTCATTTAAAGATTTTCTTCTAATGAGTGAAGATGGAATGGCAACCCCGTCTGCGTTATCGGATAGGTGAGGATGAAGGCAGGTCAGTTTACTTATGGTGAAGAATTCGACAAGACTACGATGGTTCAAGGGGGAACCGCGTGGAGGTCGATCTGATAGGGTATATTGCTAATAATAGGGCTGTTAGATCCTATTACTACTAATCCCTTTCGTTCCTCATATAAAGAATTAAATTACTGCTACAAAAGTGGCGTGTATTATTAAAGAAAAATTCTTCCCTATGAGGCAAAAACCGGTGGTATTATTATGCTATTAGAAATCAGACAACGGAACATCTGGAAGCACTGTACAGAATACGAAATTCCTAGCCAATTTAACTTTTAGTTTCGTATATCGAACTCGAGACCAGACTTTATTAGAGGCGACATATCTAATCAGTAATACAATGTGGTCGTCGAGGGGGAAAGGGATTGTTAGCAATGCAGACTACCCGTCCCATTGCTAACAATATACCCTGTCAGGTCGACCTACACGCGGTTCCCAATGGAAATCATCGTGCTGAATTTCAGATGTATTCATCACGATGTGCTTTTTCATTCTCATCTATCATCCTTCACTGGTGCCCCTCCAGTGTATACTGCTAGCGCAGGTGGTTTTTTGATGGGTGAAAATGGTATGGTAACCCCGCCTGCGCTAACGGGATACGCTGGCGGAGCACCAGTGAAGGGTGATAGATGAGAATAAAAACAGGCCAGTTAGCCCACCTGGTTGGGTATATTGCTAGCAATGGGATTCTCAGTCTCCATTACTAACAATCCCGTTTCCCCCTGCACAGGTGGGGTTATTTCCATCCCATTCCATTATCATCCATAAAAAAAACCGTGGTCGTCGATTCAACATCACATCTTTCACCTTTCACGCTACGAAAAACTATAAAATATTCCTTTTAATTGTAGTATACATTCTATGTTTTCTTTGTACACATTTTAACAAATGCCTATAATAAGATAACGAGATAAGAATAATCTATATTCAGATAGTATTTTTATATCTTTAAATTTTTCTCAAGTTCAGTCGTAGACATTGTTCTATACCGAAAAGAGCCATTGCGATCATATACACCCTGTCAGGTCGACCTTCACGCGGTTCTCCCTGAAAACTATCGTATTCTAATTCTTGTCGAATACATTATGCTAACAGACCTACATTCATCCTTATTTATCATCACTCATTACTACCCTGTCAGATTAAACCGACAGCGCAGGCGAGGAGGTTAGATACTATTTATATATATTTACATATAATTATACTGTAGAGGTCGAATGACTGCACATAGAAATAAAAAACACTAAAAGCCGAATCAGGGGGACGTTTTTTTTTAATGGGTGATAATGGAATGGTAACCCCACCCGTGCTATTGATATACACCGTCGGGGCACCAGTGAGGGATGATAGATAAGGATGAAGCAGGTCAGTTAGCCCATCGTGACGAATTTAACAAGAATTGTTCATTTCAATCACGATGGTTTCCAAGGGGAACCACGTGGAGGTCGACCTGATAGGGCATATATTGCTAGCAATGTCGAACTTCATTGCTAACAATCCCTTTTCAGTCAGGGGGACGTTAGAAGTGAAACAGATCCATACATCCAGATTTTTTTTCAAATATTTTGTCCCTTTTGAATGAATGAATGAGTATACTTGTTTTGCATTACACAATATAGAAATTAAGTAAGACAATTAATTAATATAACGATACAATTTTTGTTTTGTCTGTTTGTATGGGCTAATCTCCAAAACTGTTGGACCGATTTAAATGAAATTTTGCATGGTGGTACCTTACATCCCCGGTCAACAATTTTAGATACTTTTGATCACGAAAAATTAAATAGTTCCTGTGAAATAGTTCAAAAAAACTATAGTAACTTATACTGTTTAGTACATAACCTGCTTAAGTAAAGTCATTTTATCTGAGGCAAAGAGTGAGAACGACAAGTCATTTGTTAATTTTTTTATAGTACATATAGGACATAATAAATAAGTAGATACATACATCGACATATAATAAACAGGAATAATAAATACCACGCGAATAAAGTCACGGGTATCAGCTAGTTTAATATATTGACGGTATAAATAAAACAAACTGGAATGAGGCTAATTCCCATATACCAAAATAAATATGTACGTAGGTAGGCAGTAAAAATATAGTTATGTTTTTAGCAAACAATACAAAGAATCGTCTGTCGCGGATTAAAATTATCGCAACTAAATAAATACTAAATCCTTGACATATTTTTTCAAGAATAACAATAAAAAAATTGAATAACTATTACATGATAGATGTTAGATACAAGTTAGATATACATTAGACAAACGCACGTTTAAACCATTAGTATAGTATAGAAGTTCGCCGTGTGCTCCCGGCATAGAATGGGCCACCACTTTCTTTTCCGTGTGTGTCGAAGATGCAAGAGAGAACTTAATGGTTTTGGGATCGGCAGCAACGTCCCTATTAAAACATCTCCAAAAGCTAACCGCCGTTGCTAATCCTCCTGCCAAGCGTGGCAATTACTGGCAAAATCCCCTCTTATGGGGAAGGACTATGTTCAGCAGTGGACAATTAACGGCTGAAATGATAATGATGTTTCTATTATCACCCATAAAAAAAAACTTGATGATACCCACCAAAAAAAAATTTAGACTGACAAACTATACTGACTGAAATAACATACCTAATATGCGCACTAGCGATGATCCTGTCCCCAGCCAATTGCCACACGTGGAACTCGTGGACGGCGAGCACTCCGTCCACCTTCTCCAACAAACGCCTCTGTATAGCGTCCACCTGAGTAAACAGTGCGTTTGAAAAACTGGTTTATGTTTTATCGTTATGCAAATAAGGTTGTTTATCGTCCGCGTGTTTATCAATCATTTTGAGAGCTTAAAGTTTAGTCAGTACAAAAATTACAATGAATATGAATGGCTTAAGCAAACTTAAACTATAAATCCCAATATAATTAGTGCATACGGTAAGATTTTGCTCCATAAAAAAATAAAAAGATACAGAGCCTTAAAATAAACTCAAAAATAGTGAAGTTATACACAAACCAAAAATATATGAATATGCGAATTAAGGACTTTATTTTCCAACTTAAAAAAAGCGGTAGGTTCTTAATTAGGTTGTATATTTTTTTGTTTGTTACTTCATAATTCTCATTTATAAATCGATTTTAAAAATTCTTTATTATCAGACAGGATATACTTCCAGATTGGTTCTATAAAAAAATTATCAAAATCGGTTCAGTAGTTTTTTTTTAAACAAAATAAATGATTTTGTCACGCTTGTATTTTTTTGTGGAAAAAATCTTAAATTATTTTAAAATCGCTTAAAGTAGATAACAAACATTATAGGATACACCTCCAACCGCTTATATCGAGAGATAGGAATAACAATAATACAGAAATGTGTAGACTCGATTGGTTTCAACCATCTATATTATATTCGTTAAACGATCTCTATACATTTGTCCTTTGCTTTCAAATACATAACATGGTTTGAGCAACGATGCGTGGTACTTGTTTAGATATATAAATATATATACATATAAATTAAAATGGTCATACCTGGATATGTGTGGGCACAGTTTGTAACAAGATGAGCGAGGATTCTCTTAACAAAGGCCACACTGACGCGAGGATAAGAATGACTAGGACTATACTGAGCGCTGGGTCGATGTAATACTTGTATTTCCAGTCGGTGAGCCATACTACTAACGCTGAACCTACTACTATAATGGAACCTGGAACAATGGAAAAATTGAATAATTAAAACATTCTTTTTATACAACTTAGAATGGCAAACAAGCTGACGGTCCACCCGATGGAAAATGATAACCGTCGCCTATAGACATGAGCAGTACCATGGACATAACAGAGTATACTGATTCGCCCATGATACCCCCCCCCCCCCGCGTTGCCATTACTGAGGACTCAGATGTTATTCCTCCGTACCCTGTAAATTTACGCCATATCCCACCCTTCAAACCGAAACACAGCCATGCAAACACAACTGCTTCACGGTTGAAACACGAATGGGACAGAGGTACCCAAGCAATCGACTTTTGTACAAAGTCTCCCTCTGGTATATTATTAATATATAACATATTTTTAGCCACGTGCATTATTATTGTTTGTTCGTTTAAAAATCTTTATTGTATACAGAAAAAAAAGAGAACAGAAGAAATAATCGAGGTAAGAGTACAACGGTAGATTTATTCCTAGAAGCTTTATTTTCGTAAGCGTATTTAAGGGGAGAGTAGGGTGGGCCCTGCTCACCCCAGGATGCGAGCAAGATAGATAGATAGATAGATACTCTTTATTGTTTCCTCCAAAAGATTACAATAGTAAACTTATTATAAATATAAATAATTACAAGAAATAATCACAATAAAGACTCTCAACTATATGCAAGCACATGTCTGAAAGTCACCAAAAGTCTGCGGTTGCTAAACCACTTGCCAAGCGTGGTAACTACTGGCAAAATCCTCCCAAGTGGGAGGCCTATGTTTAACAGTGGACACTTAATAGCAGATATGATGATTATGAGTGAAAGTACATAATGTTCCGTTTTTAAGGAATCAGGCCCTCCTTGGAGACTAATTAAAATTTTAAAAACGTCAATGGATATTCTCCAGTCAACTAAGAGAATACTCAAAGTATTATTAAGTAATAGTACATTTAAAAAAAGAAATTGATTTAAAATAGGACTGTCATTTTCGTGGCATTTTACTCAACCAGGGCATTTGCATTTATTATGCAAGTTACGGCCACGAGGTATAATTAAACAATATAATAATATATTCCATTTCCTTAACTTTGTTCGAAATTATAGTGAATCATACATACTATGTATAAGTGTTCTATTAGTGAAATTGAATAATTCACCCAAAGAAACATGTATTGATAAAATACAATACAAAATCTGGAGTTTTCATGTGTTTTTTTTATATACACTTTTTATATTATCAATAGTCAGTTGTACATTTGAAATGTTATATATGCTGTGTACAAGTATATCTTCCTTTTATACTGTGTTGTTATCTAATAAAAAATATCTAGCTATCTTTAATTTGTCCACCCCCACTTTGCACACATGTATTTTTCTAGAGTCCCCATCCTAAATTTATTTATTAATTCTCATAAATTTAAAAGACATATTGCCACAGTTATTATTATCATTGAAACAGGAGCATTTTTCAGACAGAAAACTCTGTGACATTTCGACCTTTCCATGATCTTCTGTGTTCGCCCTTTTCTAAATCCTTTTAATTTTCTAAAGGAGATATCTCGTTTATGTATGAGTGGGTTATTGTCACACATTAAGTGCTGCTGCTATTATATTTCAATAATAATTTTCTTTGGTTATTTAACAGCTCACCTGAAAGTCTTAAACGCACACGGTGCGGCGTTATCGCCCATGTTTACAACCTACGATCTATACAAACAGGGCGTGTTCACATGTCAATTTAGAATGGGAGGCCTAAAGTTTTTTACTCATTCGTCTCATGTTTCTTTGGAAAAAATGTTTCAATACAATAATGATTTTTATATCATCAAGTAAACTGTATGGGAATCCCCTTAAATTGATTCAAGTCATTCAACAAATTGCACTATAATTAGACACGATACGAAAATAGCGAAGCTATTTGCATAATATTATAACAAAGTCACAGACAAATGTATGAGGTTAAATTATGAAGGTTCTGTTCAGCCACTTCCTTGTGAAACCAAAAAGAGATAATGCAACGTATGAATCATATTAAAATAATATCGTATCGTAATTACTTAGGTGCCTTTATTTGTTTAATCATCAAAACAATAAAATTTTGTAATTTCACATGTTAATCTCTGGCCACGCCTAGCCATTAACCTTCAAAGTCAAATATAGATAATTTTCAAAGTGATCAATGTAACTGATCAACTAGCGTACCTATGTGATAAAGATTTTAAAGAAACTGGCACAAGGTTACTACGGTTCGCACATTGTGACTTTGTCGTTCACGAAATAATGTCAATAACGGTCGCCTGCAACGTAATCAATACAATTGCCAAGAAATTATCTAAGAAAATTGGTATAGGTCGATTTTAATTTTAATTATATTTTATATTTAAATAAATTAAAATATAACCTTATACAAGGTGCAGATTCTTATTCTATGATCTCTTTTCAATATATCACTCCTGGGGGGAAAAGGATTGTTAGTAATGGATTCTAACAGCTCTATTGCCAGCAATATACGCTATCAGGTCGACCTTCACGCGGTTCTCCTAGAAGTAATTAATTCTTGTCGAATTCTTCACAATTCTGCCTTTTTATCCTGACTTAACATTTATCGTAGGTGCTCCGCTAGAGTATACCAATAGCATAGACGGGGATACCATTCTATTTGGAAGGAAAGATATTTTTAGTAATACGGACTACCAATCCCCCTAGAAAACATTGTACCACGAGTTCCAAGTGTATTCATCACGATGGGCTATCTAACTGACCTGCCTTTTCATTCTCACCCATCAACTCTCATTCAACGTATACCGTTAGCGCAGGCGAGGTTACTATTCCATTATCATCCATTAAAAAATCCATTTTCAATTATATGATATTGTTGAATTTTAGTTATTTGTAATTAGTCTTAACTCTTGACTAAGTATGTGGAGTCGAGATAAAAAAGTAGCATATGCCCTCCATCCCAAAGAGTACGTGTATGTCAAACTTCCTGATGACTAGTTGAGCCGTTAACGCATCAAAGCGTAAACAAACTTAACTATTTTGCATTTACAATATTAATAAGGAATACATAATTAATAACGAGGCCAAAAAACCTGTGATAATCATTAGTACTTTTCCAATCGTTTAGTTTTTTAACATAATCGTCATAAGTAGGAACCAAGGGATTACTAATAGAGCGAACTATAGCGTGGTCGCTGAGGACGTGTCAAGAATAAGAATTTGTATAACCTAAGTAATTTTGAAATTTATTTTAATAACTTTAGCGTTGGTGTTTATCTGACATCAATTCACTTAATAACGCAGGGTTAAGATTCCATTTTCATAATTTAAAATGTGTGACAATAATGAACTTATATGAAAAGAATTCAAAGTTCAAAATGGTTTTACAAATCATGTACACCACAGAATAGGGCTGAGAGTAGAACTAGGATGTGATAACTTCAATACATTTTATAAATTATCAAAACTGGTTTGATTGGTAGTATTTAGTGATGGAATAATTTCAATAAATAACATAAACTATAAACGGCCATTAATATTGAATACGCTATTACTAATAATGGCACTCCAGGTCTAAGTGTATTTGAAATAATAAAGGTGATAAACGTAATAGTAATATGAATACAACTATTTTGTTGCCTACATTGCACAATAACAAACAATAATGAAGGGAAATTGTAACAAATACGTGGCAAATTGATCGGACACGACGGTATGTCGATTTTGAGAACAACAAAAGTATTAAACTGTGACGCCTGTGACAAGTTTTGCAAGGACAAGTTTTAAACATTATTTAATATATATTATTTAAATTACAAATGAAATATGCGCACATAAGAACACAGTATAAATAAATCACTCAGAAGTATTTAAAGTTGTTTGTTGAAAATAAACAGGTAATGCAGATGTTGGCAGATTCTTTTCAATATAAGCTCCACACAATTATACCACCTGCCTGATGTTCTAGTTAGGATACCATGTGTTATATAAGGAAAGAATTATAAAATATCTGAGGGCACAATTTAGAACACGCAGATTGCTATTGTGGTGAACGTTTTAACTTACTAGTACACTAGTAATACAATAATGTATGTTAATAGTCGCGCTAATAGATTATATGCAAACGACTGGGTCGAAGCTTGTTACTTGAAATTTTAAGTTTAAAAAAAAATTTAAACAAATATTTATTTGGAATTCCAATAAGAGAAAAAAGATTTGACAAAGGAGAGAAAGAGAGAAATAGAAAAAATGTATATGCAAAGCACATTCCTGATAATGCACAAATAATGGTAGATATGGACACAACTAGATTATTAATACCTGCATACCCTTTTTTTTTGTCGAAGGGAAATGCTTTATGCAGACTCACATAACTCGGAGGAGATATGTGGGTACTGCCGGACTCTTACCGGCTAAAACCCCCCGGTGTTCCTCGTCCACCTATCGCCGGAGCCGCGGGAAACCCGCTTGAAGTCGTCCGAGACTCCGACGACAATACCTGCATACCCTAGTCTATTGTAATGAGAGCACTGGTAAGCCTAAAGGCGAGTGTGTATCCGACCGGGTGAATTAAATACTAGTTATAGGTAGAAAAAGAAGAATAGTATGTGGTTCATAGATAATAAGACAATACGAAGGGCACAAGATTTGGAAATAGTTTGTTACAATTATTTTTCGCATATAATTAGGTCATGAGCATTGCTGATTACCTCACTTCAAATGACTATGATAAGGAAACTATTGTAATAAAACATTAGATACGTATGTATTTAGATTGAATGGTACGTATGATTCAATTAGACACCATTTCGTCCGTGTAAAATTTACGTAGATGTTAAAATTTATTTTCTTTAGAACGCTTGGTAGTGTAAAGGAAACATAAAATAGATATACGTTTCGTATTTTTCAGCTTATGCTGTTCTCATTGACTGCAGGAAAGAAACCTCCAGGGAGTTACCCTTCAGTCTAAAGCTCCCACCTCCTATATTTCATGCTTGTTATCTATTAAATCGGAAATTTATAATAAAACTTTCATATTAGAAGTATTCATGCAACATAGACAGTCGCTGTAGAAGGCCAAGCATCCTTGTCTTTTTAGAGCCAAAAGATTCGTCATTCATCTGTTTTTAGATCGTCTTCACCTGATTCTAAGGCCTAATTAATCGCGAAGACATTAGTGCAAAAACATTTTATTCTCGGCCTATTGGTAACATTATATGGCCAAATACACAGCGATACACGCAAGCGTTCGGTCGACAAAAAATTATAGGGGTCTGGAAGCATAATACTTCCAAGCCCTTAAGAATACATGAGGGTATTGAGGGCGTTATATTGTACGTTGTAATGTCAATTTCTACGGCAGCAGTAACCAGAAAATTGTCAATCCATGGTAAGAAGGTAATTTGTTTAATCAGATGCAAGTAGTTTGACCGCGTATTTACTTTCTTTTTCCCGGTGTTAAAGAGGGCCATGCCTTTAGTTTTTTTTCTTCTTATTCCTTAATCTTTGCCACTCTTATCCGTATAATTTCCGTAATTCTAAAGTAACTTTAATTACGTAAAAAAAGTTGTGACTTTAATTTTCTTCGGCTTAGTCACGCTCACTGTATCTCTCGTAAATGACTTCCTTATTGAAAGTAAAATTCAATGTCGAGGCTGATTCAAAATTCTAGAATGATATAAACCAACAGCAAACTTATATATTTTATATATGTAATTTATGACTGATGATTCGATTCCAATACAAGGAACTAGACAAATTGAAGTAAATAAATCATTACCAAATACTTGTAGTATTTAGCATAGAGAAGGATATAGGCTGTTTTAACGGTCATTTAACGTGTCCTAGTTGAATTCAGGCACTGGTAATAGCGTTATAAATTGAAGTACTCATAGTAGTAACATGTGCGGGAATTACACGTATGCATTATATTTAGCCGCTTTCCTTCAGTTATTTAAAAAAAAAAAACTAAGACAATTTGTTGTGTAATTAACACAGTTTTTGTAAGTAGGTATACTGTGTAGCTACTTATTTAATATGTTTACGACTTTACATAATATAACTAGATTGATGTCTATAAAGGCCAAGTGTTACACAATTGATCAATAAATCTACATAGTAATACAAAATAATAATATATTAAAATCGTTCGATTAGCATTTGTATTACAAATGGTAATTAATCAATAAACAATGATGGTAATCAGTTTTAAATGAATTTTGTATTGCCCAATCACAATTATTGCGTACATTATTACTTCATACGAGTAACTAAACAAGATAATGTTACAGAATTAGGTAAACCTGACCGACTTTATTAAATATATCAGACACTAGTGAGCCACCTTGACTTTGAGCGATTTTATTAAAATAAAATACGGTCCATGTTACTTTGATAATGAAAGAACTTTTTAAATGCGGTTAGGATTTTTTCTAAGTAAAATATATATATATATATATATATATATATATATATATATATATATATATATATATATATATATATATATATATATATATATATATATAAGGAAAATATAAGGCATATTTTTGATTTGTAAATCATAAATATATTCTCTAGTCTGCAAAAACTATAGCCACAGTTTTATATTTTTTAGTAATACAAAAAAAATTATAAGTTATTATACACTTAAAACATCATTACTACAATCAATTTTTAAAAGAGGATTTAATAATTATTTATTTAGCAATTATTAATCAATTTTCTAAATAAAAATCTTGTTTTAAAATATTAATATTATTTCCAAATATTTGCACCGGGTAATATTGGTCGATCGATGCAGGTGGGTAATGCCTGTTCTATATAGCTGCTTCAAGGGAGGCCAATGTGCAGGGGTGAAATGGATACAATTATAATGATGGTACTTACCAAGAGCATCGGACAGCACGTGCAAGAAGACTCCCTTCATGTTCATATGTCCAGGGTCAGTTGTCGTGCGGCACGGTTGCTTATTGTTATTTGACGTTTTCTCGGCCTTCGGCGGTACCATTTCATCAGTCTCCTCAGGGTCCGTGGAGTTGTGACCCAGAGCCATATCCGCGTTGCTGTTCACAATTTCCGTCAGATGTCTGACGTTCGACGGTGGGGGTACTACTCCATGGGAATGACCATGACTACCTCCGTGCTCTAAAAAGAAAATGCCACTTAATAAACTTGTTAATAAAGTCAGCAAAACTTTGTCTCTTTCTAACACTGGCTGGATGACACGCAGTCTAAAATAAGGGGTTAAATTTTTAGATACTAAAACTTTGCACAAATGTTCATAGCGTAGATAGAAAACACTAAAGTAGGACTTCGCAAATTTTTTACCGAAACGAGAGATAAAAAATTTATAAAAGGGGTAGCGCAGACTGATTAATTTTAGCAAGTGCTGGTAAACGTTATACCACTAATACATCTTATATATGTATGATATTTATATCAAGATTTATACATGTTTGTGTAAATGTCACAACAACTGTTTTCACTATAACACATGACGCAAATACAACATTTTTTGTGGTATTTTGGTGAAATTGGAGGAGTTACGTGCAAAATAACATTTTGTATTATATCATATAATATTTTTATATTATGTATTATATATAAGTAGATACAACTTAGGATCAGCTCCCAATACCGCTAGATCTCAATAAAATTTGGTATAACACTCAATTTCAATCATAATATTTTAGCTCTACATAATTAGTTTGGGAAAATAAACTACGTATTGTAGGTATCTAAGCTATCGGTTCACTTCCCCATGTTGTTTACATGCATACTATTGAACCGGTTTATAGTTATTTATTATGGTGACACACTACGCCACTAAAATAATTGAGAATATAATTTGCGTGCTCTTCTCTATCTACCTAATGGAGGGAAAGGGATTGTTAGTAATGGAGACTGAAAATTCCATTGCTAGCAATATACCCAACCAGGTCGACCTCCTCGTGGTTCCCCCTGGAAACTATCATGATTAATTCCTGATGAATTCATCATGATGGGCTAACTGGCCTGATTTCATACTCATCGTTCACCCTTGACTGGTGCTCCGCCAGCGTAACCCGTTAGCGCAGGCGGGGTTATTATTCCATTTTCACCCATCAAAAAAAATCTTACCTACTCTCTAAAACTAGCTGTCTTTCTACAAACGGAAAAAGCAGGTAATTTTTTTTATTTCTATCCGAGTGAATTTGTTTCACGCAATTTTAATAGACTTGCGATTCCTCAATGTGAATATGGGTTTGGTAGTCTTTTTCGGCATTGATAACTTTGATATATACCAATATATGTATAATAGTTATTATTTGCAATAAAAAAAAATGGCGTGATTAGCTAAAAAAAATACGTTGATTAATCATGTTTTGACATTTGACGCCACATCTAGATATGTATGATCTAGATAAAAAAAATATGTTTAACGTGGTAACTATCTTTTATAAAAACCTAATTACCATTTGTATTACTCAGTTACACACAAGTTCATAGATACACAAACAATACAGATGAGTCTAATAGATAACATGCTGACTTACCATGGAATAGGAACAATCCCACAACGTTAAGCAGCAATCCGAGTGTACCAACAGCGACCAGTAACTGAGCGTCATGGATCGTCTCGATCTCAATAAATCGCTTCACAGCCTCCACTGTTATGCTGAAGCACAGCGCGACCAGGAATACGGCGTTGACGAGGGCACCGAGTACTTCGGCGCGCGCCCATCCAAATGTATTCTTTGACCATTTCTTTGGTGACATCTAAGACAATGGGAATACAGGTCATGATTTTGTTCTACGATACAGGTGGCGTACCTAATATTTTAGAACTGACATAAAAAACAAACGGTTCTCAAATCTCTCTTTATTACCTTTCACAGGAATAGAGGCAATGATATTCGGGTGGTATGCTAGTTTACATGAGTGCGTTATAGTAAATAACGCTCTCTACAAAACTTTGACAATTTCTGTCTTTGCAGAACCTTTTTCAAAATGGTCTTGTAACTGGTGACTATTATTATACAAACCACTTATTTAAAAAAAAAAACATAAATACTATAAACGTTTTCAATAATTGCTTAATTATAGGAGTGCTGTAGAGAGCCATGAATACAGTATAAATGTAGTAATGCATAGTAATTGATATAGAACCATTGAAAGAGTAAAATATTATGGAAAAGGGATCAATTGCGAGAAATCCTCAGGTCAACTAAGAACCTAATGGCAAACCAATAAAAAAATAATGAAATTGAATCTCAAATAGCTAAAATATCATGTATCATAAATATATTTTATTTTATATTCTTCTATAGACTAATAAATAAATTTTATCTTTAGAACTTTTAGAATTAGATTGAAAATAAAGTACAAGGTTGAATATAGGTATACTATTAAAATGAGTAATACACACTAGTAGGTAGTAATAGCCACTTCATAGAATTCTTTATGATGTCATATTATGGCCATGAATTTATTGGTATTTTTACAAGAAATATAAAAAAAAAATCAATCAAACTTAAGTATCAATGTTGGTAATATAAAGTTTTTAATTTATTTTTTTTTTTTACACAAGCAAACAATGACTAATTGTAATAAAAAGAATATTCAAAATTGGTTCAAACATGAGCTTCCATTTAAGCATAATACTAAGATTGTAATATAGTATCAGTTATTTTAATCATGGCGCAATATATTATTTGAATAAGGAACTCATTAACCCACATAAACCTTACTTGAATACCTTATAAATTAAATAACATTTTTACATTTTGTGCCAGTAACATTTAGGTAACATTTTAAGGCTTTTAGCCTTAAGCTAGCATATTTATAATCTCAAAATTATTATTTTCATGAAGTAATAAAAGGAAAGGAAATATTGTACTATAAAAAAGTGCCCGAAATATAATTGTTGCTGGTGACATAATTAACAAATCCTTATATTACTTGTATTTTTTTCAATTTAATATCATTGTGATTGATATATCTATTGTTAACATTGTGTTTGTGTAAGATATTTCTTTAGTAAGCATACTATTCTCTCATTGAAGCAGTTTTCCTAAGGGAACCTCTGGGGCAGCTACAATGGTTTATACATAATTAAAAACTTAACACACCCATAAAAGTAAATTTGTGTATTTATAATATTACAATTTACAGGGTATAGAGGAATAACACCTATTCTGAGAACTCCCTCAGGAATTTCAATGCATTGGGGACTATCATGAGTGAAACAGTATACTCTGATATGTCCATGGTACTGCTAATGTCTATAGGCGAATTACTATTATTTATAATTCAGAACTATCAAATTAATTCTGTATTATATTTAGCTTATTGATCTTAACATATTGTATTGATATGATGATTATTGACATTTGGTGGAATTTAGAATTTATAAATTAGAAGTAGTACAAGTATGTTCCGACTTATAAAGATGATCTCAATATAGATTATTACTAAAGAAAATACTGATAAGATGTTGCCAATAGCAATAGATTATGATGGCTTTATCTTAAAGATTATTCAATAAGACAAAATTCTTGTTTTTAATTTCAATTTCTAAAATTAGCATCTATTTATCTAATCAGCCTACATCCATCTAATACTGATCATAGAACTCCTTTTTGTCAATTGTAACCATTCTGTGCTTTTCCATTATCTGCATTATGTCATCCAACCATTGGGTTTGTGAATGATCAACTATTTTCTACTCTTGACCATCATTTTCATACTTGATGTCTATCAAAATTAGAATAAAACTGATAGCCCTCCTGATGAAAAATGGTAACCATCACTTATAAATATGAATAGAACCATGTATATCACAGAATAAGCTGTTAAGATTTAAATTGAGTCAATTATAAGGTGTTTCATGAAAGTACTGTTGGATAAACTAAATAAACATAATTTCTTTTAATAAGAAATTTAGTACACATTGGTCCTTAGAATAAAGATTATTCTATGATATGAAAATAAAATTTTAATGTCAAAGATAAGATTCGAGAGAGCCACAGAATTGACTCGAATGAAAGACTATTAACCACAACTACTTACTTTAACTGATAAAAATGCAATAACAAGTGCTGCTACATCACTCAACATGTGAAATGAATCGGCAACTAGTGCCATGGAGTTGGTAACATAACCAACAATTAGCTCCACAAAAAAGAAGCCGCCTGTGAGCCAGAGCATAGATAGTAGCCGACATTTCTTCCCCGTGAACCTTCCCATTGTATCTGTAAATAAATATGGCTTTTAATTCAACTTAGCAACTATTTATTATATGAGATGATGTAATGTTACAGTAATAATAAAGACGAAAAATTCATAGATTGTTTAAAAAATAAATTTGCAGTAGACAAGTTTTTTTTTACTAAATTATAGAGGAAGACAGATATATATTTTCTTTAATAACAAGAAATTTATTACATACTTTTAGATGTCCGTTTAAAATTTGAATGATATGAACTTTCTGCCTAATTTCTTATACACTAATGGCAAATAAATATTATCACTAAGTACTGCTATGCATAATAAATTTTATGAAACCTTAATCAGATCAATACATCATAAACCAATTCATTGTAACATGTACTTTAAAATCATTACTTAATTTTTTTTACATTATGAATTCTAAAGTACAAATAATAAGACACAGGATTAAATATATAATTTTTAAATCCAAGTATTCTAATCCAAGCAATTCTAACACAATTGAGTAACTAAAGTACCTAAATATAATTATTATTTTCTTACATTTTATAAGATTCCCAAATTTAAATAGGAGGGTAACGGCAACTAATACCCACAAGGAAGTAGGTATGTCACAAAATATGCACACTCATTTCACAACAATAGGTTATTGCTCCAATACAATATCGATTCAACACTTCTCAGCTAGGCACAAACATAGAGCACTTCCAATAGTTAGAAAAGTAAACAATTAACACTGGCACGTAATTCAAAAACAAATCCTTTATTCTCTTGATCGTATATAATAGTAACATAACAACAATACAATGGAAAAGAAAATCTAGTGAAAGTTAAAGCAATTTGCAGGTAGAGTGCAAAATTTTGTTAGAAATTTATAGAAATTTAATTATAAAGTACAGAAATAAAGAAACTTCCGTGCGCTTAGCGCACTCTTAAAATAATAATTTACTATTCGTTTTATGCAATACGACTCGTGAATTCGTGACGAAACAAATTTCAAGTCTCAATAATCCCAAAGAAATCTCTGGACAAAATGTCAAATTGTCATTTTGCTGTCACTGACAGTCACTGTTTTTTTTTTTTAGTACGTTTGTTCCGTTTGGAACAGGCTAAGGTCGGAGACCATGCTGCCTAGTCTTCAAAAAGATAATTTGTCTGGAATTTTATTTTTCTAATGTCGCTTCAATTATTGTCATAATCTTCAATATTTCATTTGTCAAATCCGGTAAGTACATTTTCATAAATATCTTTTCTTGAGTTTTCTTAAACCAGTGGATTTATCAAATTAAAAATAAATAATTATAAAAAATCATTGTCTTGCAATTCAATAAAAGTATTCTTATAGCTCCTTGAATGTTGTAGTAATATAAGTGAAAATAGCTTTGAAACAAGAAGGAAATCTTAAGAGAAGCGGGATTGAGTGCGGGATATTTTCGGGTTTTTTGAAGATAATCCTAAGTTCGTCAAACATAATGTGTCTTTGAATGACAAATTCAGAGCAATCAAAAAAAAGGTGATGTAGAGATTGGGCTGTATTTGAGTTACACCATGTGCATGATGGGGAAGCGATCATGCCCATTCGGTGCAGGTGTTCGTTGAAATGTCCGTGGCCGATTCGTAATCTACAAATATTGGTGTAAAATTTTCTGTTTGTGTCCTTTCCTTTGCAGAACCACGGTTTTCCAATACGCCAATTAATTTTGCGGTACCATTTGCCTTTAGTCTGTAATATTTGAGTCCAATGCTCCTCCCATTTAGTTGTAACGATTTTATGTATTCCAATACTACAATCTGAGTAACAAAGGGGTAAATCTTGAACACGAGCAGCACTTGAATTAATAATTTTAGCCAAAGTGTCTACTTGTTCATTCCCAAACACTCCAATATGTGAAGGGGTCCAGATGAAGATAATATCTTTTCCATATATAGTACAGAGATGATAATATTTATTACGAATTTCTTGAATTAAGTAGTTTGATGATGAAATGAATGTGTTATTTTTTAATGCCATAAGAACACTCATACTATCTGTAATTATAATCCATTTCGAATATAGTACCTGTTTTTCTATGTATTCTAATGCTAAAAATATAGCTTTTGCTTCTGCTGTGTAAATACTAGCCAAAGTTGAAATTTTATAACCGTGACCAAATCTATTTGACAAATCGTAAAAAGCCACTGAAGTGCTAAGTGCATTTTTGGAACCATCTGTATATATCTGCCTGTAGTCAATAAATTCTGATAAAGTCTCATACATATCGTGCTTTTCTTTTATGTCTTTACGTATAACAATTTTGATCTTACAGAACTTACTCTCATAAAGGCCATTATAACAAGGAAGTATCTTACTACTATAGATGTTATATTCATCTCGTAAATTCAAATCATTGACAATAGTTTTATTCAAAAACATAGAAATGGGGCAATTTAATAATTTGAGTATGAGTGGGTTATTGGAAACTGAAAAAACTTTGAAGAGAAATTTGAGTTTTAGGTATTCGAAACGAAGAAGGATAGGAGGCAAATTACATTCTACTTGCATTGAGATGATTGGAGAAGTATACATAGCACCTAAAATAAGTCTTAAATTCATATTTTGAATTTTTTCGAGTTTTTCTACTAATTTATGTTCTGAGGCATAACAAAAGAAAGCGTAATCAAAATTACTTCTAACAAGAGATTTGTAAAGTAAAAGGATAATTTTAGGATCAGCTCCCCAGTTACGACCAATTACAGATCTTATTATATTAGTGGCTCTTAAAGCACGATCTACTAAGCAATCAACGTATAGATCCCATTTTAAATTTTGATGAAAAATTACCCCCAGAAATTTAACGCTACAGTCTGTTGGAAGAGTTTGATTATTATATATAATATTCATTAATGGAACATATTTATGAACTTGATGAAAAACAACTACTTTACTTTTGGTTAAACTAATATCGAGGGAAAGAAGAGAAAAATATTTCTCAAGTCTTTTTAATGACTCATTTAACACTAATTGCATATCAATAATATTCTTTCCTTTTATATAAATTAATAAATCATCGGCAAATTGCAAGTTGTTCACACTGTTTCCTAAAACTGAATTAAGTTTATAGATATATAAAATATATAGTAGCGGGCTTAAAATACCACCTTGACATACTCCTTTAGAGCTTAACCTAGGTCCTATTAATTTACTATTTACTTTAACATACACTTCTCTATTACTAAGAAAATTATAAATCCATTCGATAAGTTTCATTGGAAGAAATGAGGATAGAATCAAAGATAGAACTGTTAAATTTACATTGTTAAAAGCTCCTACGACATCTAAAAAAACAGATAGAACATATTCATCGTTATTCAAAGCAGTACTAAGGTCGACATAGAAGTTCGCTAAACTTTCGCGCGCTGAATATCCACGGCGAAAACCAAATTGATTCGATGGTAATATACTATTACTTTCAATAAAGAACTCTAAACGCTGTTTAATTAATTGTTCGAATAATTTGCCTGCACAGGACGTCAATGTTATAGGTCTATAGGAGTCGAAATTTGTAGGATCTTTACCGGGTTTAATTACTGGAATCAAACAATCCATTTTCCATTCTGGTGGGATAATACAGTCCTTCCATAAATCGTTAAAAATTTGTAAGAGTTTAGTAAGGTTTATTTTATTCAGCAATCGAAACATATTGTATGTTAAGCGATCAAGGCCACTAGCTGTATCTTTTCTAGATTTTACTGCACTGGATATTTCATCAATTGAGAATGGGTCAGTGAGAAATTTTGGGCATGAATTAACAGAATTAAACTGTTTGTCATCAAAAGGTGAGTGTACAAAATCAGGAGTATATTTGCGTAAAAAATCATTGACCCATGATATATCTTTAAAATGATTTTGACGATGTTTTGAATTTAGTTTTCTCATATTTTGCCAAACAGTGGAAATTGGTGTTAATCTATTAAATTTGGAACAAAATTCCTGCCACCCCTGTTGTCTTACTTGCTTAATTACTAACTTTTTAACAGCTTGAACTCTTTTAAAATTTATGTAATTATCGAGAGTTGGATTTTGTTTAAACCTAAGGTAAGCCGCTTTACTATCATTGACAGCTGTCGCACACCTGTTATTCCACCAAGGTACTGCAATATGTTTGTGCCTCTTTGAAGTATTTGCACCGCTATTTGATAAGTTCCTACGTGGAACGGAACGTTCCACAGCTGTCAAAATAATTTTACAGAACCTATTGTAATTGTTTAAGGGTTCATTGACATCATACTCGAAATCCAAAAGTAATTGATTAACAGTTTCAGAATAAAGATCCCAATTAACGAGACGTAGGTTTATACGATTTAACAAAAGTTTATTAACTTCATCTATAGGAGCATGTTGTTCACCTGACGGAGTTGATGAAGAGTTCTTTGTGTTTATTTTAGTAAAAGTCGGCAGGTGATAACTTCCTAACGGATCATCATGAACCGACCACTCGCATTTTAATGATATGGATGGGGATACCATAGTTAAATCAAGGCCATTGGGTCTCCAAATATGAGAGCCAACAGTAGTAACTTGCTTATCATTTAATAGTACCAAATTACATTCATCTAAACAATCAAGAATGTCTTTACCTCTTGTATTAGTGGAGGTACAACCCCACATAGTATGATGTGCATTTAAATCTCCAGATATGATAGTGGGTTTAGGAAGAGACTCCAAAAAGAACTTAAATTTGGCTTTAGTAAAACTAGGTGTACTATTGGTAGGACAGTAAATACTGGCAACTGAATACCAAGAATTATTAACTTCAATACTAATAGCTATAGTTTGCAAAGAATTGTCGAAAAAAGAGTGAAGTTTTTTATATCTAATACTATTATGTATAATAATCGCTACTCCATTGTGGTTATTACCACAATCATTTCGTTCTATACAATAATCTTTAATTTTTAATTTGTAATGTGGTTTTAGCCAAGTTTCTGAGATGAGAGCAATGTGAATATGATGTTCATTTAAAAATTGTGTAAAAATATGTCGATTGCTCAGTAGGCTCTGAGCGTTCCACTGTATGATAGTTAATTGGTCTCGATTGAATTTTGTGAAATAGGTCTATTACCAAAAGTATCATATAACACATTCAAAACACTTTTAGTGTTAATAGATGTGTTCTTTGTGTTATGTAGTGAAATAAGTTTGATTATGCTTTCTATTAAAAGTGATAAACTCTTGTTATCAGAATTTAGAATTGAAATTAGGTCTACATTTTTTTTAGGTTTGTTACCCAGTTTAGGAAATATTTCAGTGCTAAGTATATCTCCAAAAGAAGCAGGTCTGAATTTAGATCTATTTTCAGCAATTTTCTTTTGTTTAACAGGGCATTGCGGTGATACACTTGTGTGATTTCCATTGCAGTGTACACAAATAGCGTTTTCCATTCCAGTTGTACAAGTTTTATAATTATGCTCACCTTTGCAGATGCTGCAACGCTCAGAATTCTTACAGAATTTAGCTAAATGTCCATACCTCAAGCACCGGTAGCATTGTTTAACTGGTGGTATATATGGAGTGACATTGTGGCGCCAACCTCCAATATCCAGATATTCAGGTAATACAGATGCAGCAAAAGTAATTGTCACGGTTAGAGTTGGCTGTAACACATATCCATGAGTCAAGGTATTTTTTCTTAAAATTCTTTTAATAGCAATAATTTTCTTAGAACTCGATATCATAGTATATATTTTTTTATTAGATGTATTTGTAGGTACATTTCTAATAACGCCTGTAACTTCTGTTGAAGAAGCAGGAATACTGGCCTTAAAATGGTAGTCATTTAAAAAAGTTTTATTATTTAAAAAAGCATTGGCTAAGTCTGGCTTTTGAAAGTATACTCCGATTTTGAATTTATTTATAGATCTAAGATAAGTTACCCCTTTATTAAATCGTTTTAAACAGGAGGAGAGTGAGAGCAAGTCTCTGGATCCAATGGTTTTCTGACTATCTGAGGATTCTACAAAGACAACAAATTCTGTCCCAGGGGATTCCTCGGGATATCTTCTAATATAATCTGTGACGTAGTAAGGTTTATACTTATCGGCCTTATCAATTTCAGATTCTGAGTCAGTAGAAGTATCTTCCGAATATATATCCTTGTCATTACAAGGTTCATGGTCTACATCACCTGAATCGTCATCTTTTTTTTTCCTTTTTCTACAACTGCGCTTCCCCATGAATGCTAATTATATTACTGTCGCTGAATTTAGTGAAAATATAATATTTTATTCAATAATAAGAATTGATAGAGATAGTTTTAATAAATTAATAAAAAAAAATTTAAAAAACCCGCTTGTTCTTATTCGGGTTTCCCGCCTTTTTTCACCCGTAACTAGTTTCTATGACATTGACATAACTACTGTCATGCATGACTGTGTCATACAATAAAAACTTTCAAAAATTAATAGATCAAGATTATTTTCTTTATCGTTGTTAGGTTGTAGTTTCAATATCTAAATTGCAAATATATGTTAAAAAGATCATGATATACCATGTATTGTGTATGTGTGTACCTACTTTGCATAAAATAAGGCATTTTTGGATAATCATTTTTTTAGATAAATGAGATAGAGTTAAATATAATATTATATTTTATAGTTACTAATGGAGTATAACTTTGCTAGTAATGAATGGAGTTTTGCAAGAGACTATAATTATAAATTATTATTTTATTTTTAAGTAAATACTAATAAGATTATTACGTACAATATTACTAATCATATATTCCAGTAACAAGCACGGAATAAATGATCACTACGTTATAGTAAGAAGTTAAATATATTTCCTTTTTTTAATTAATTAAGTAATAGGTCTATAGCCATGTACGACCTTTTTCCTACAGCTAGTATTATTTTCTACAAGTTAACGTCCTCGTGGTTTTCTCTGGAAACAATTATTTTTGATACCAAATGAATTCATCATAATGGGCTAATTTACCATCTTTTTCAACTTCATTAATTACCTCTCATTTGGTACTCCGTTAGCGTATAGTTTTATGATAAATAGAGTCCGTGCTATTTGTTATGAAGATATTTGGAAAAAAAGATTGCCAATTGTCTAAAGAAAAAAAGCAATATTTTATTAAATATAGACATAGATGAAGGATAGTACCTGCATTTTTTTTTATCTAATAAGCATCAATTATAGAAAATAAATTGACAACTTCACACAGTGACTGTCAGAAAAAAAGGCGGGAAACTCGAATAAGAACAAGCGGGTTTTTTAAATTTTTTTTATTAATTTATTAAAACTATCTCTATCAATTCTTATTATTGAATAAAATATTATATTTTCACTAAATTCAGCGACAGTAATATAATTAGCATTCATGGGGAAGCGCAGTTGTAGAAAAAGGAAAAAAAAAAGATGACGATTCAGGTGATGTAGACCATGAACCTTGTAATGACAAGGATATATATTCGGAAGATACTTCTACTGACTCAGAATCTGAAATTGATAAGGCCGATAAGTATAAACCTTACTACGTCACAGATTATATTAGAAGATATCCCGAGGAATCCCCTGGGACAGAATTTGTTGTCTTTGTAGAATCCTCAGATAGTCAGAAAACCATTGGATCCAGAGACTTGCTCTCACTCTCCTCCTGTTTAAAACGATTTAATAAAGGGGTAACTTATCTTAGATCTATAAATAAATTCAAAATCGGAGTATACTTTCAAAAGCCAGACTTAGCCAATGCTTTTTTAAATAATAAAACTTTTTTAAATGACTACCATTTTAAGGCCAGTATTCCTGCTTCTTCAACAGAAGTTACAGGCGTTATTAGAAATGTACCTACAAATACATCTAATAAAAAAATATATACTATGATATCGAGTTCTAAGAAAATTATTGCTATTAAAAGAATTTTAAGAAAAAAATACCTTGACTCATGGATATGTGTTACAGCCAACTCTAACCGTGACAATTACTTTTGCTGCATCTGTATTACCTGAATATCTGGATATTGGAGGTTGGCGCCACAATGTCACTCCATATATACCACCAGTTAAACAATGCTACCGGTGCTTGAGGTATGGACATTTAGCTAAATTCTGTAAGAATTCTGAGCGTTGCAGCATCTGCAAAGGTGAGCATAATTATAAAACTTGTACAACTGGAATGGAAAACGCTATTTGTGTACACTGCAATGGAAATCACACAAGTGTATCACCGCAATGCCCTGTTAAACAAAAGAAAATTGCTGAAAATAGATCTAAATTCAGACCTGCTTCTTTTGGAGATATACTTAGCACTGAAATATTTCCTAAACTGGGTAACAAACCTAAAAAAAATGTAGACCTAATTTCAATTCTAAATTCTGATAACAAGAGTTTATCACTTTTAATAGAAAGCATAATCAAACTTATTTCACTACATAACACAAAGAACACATCTATTAACACTAAAAGTGTTTTGAATGTGTTATATGATACTTTTGGTAATAGACCTATTTCACAAAATTCAATCGAGACCAATTAACTATCATACAGTGGAACGCTCAGAGCCTACTGAGCAATCGACATATTTTTACACAATTTTTAAATGAACATCATATTCACATTGCTCTCATCTCAGAAACTTGGCTAAAACCACATTACAAATTAAAAATTAAAGATTATTGTATAGAACGAAATGATTGTGGTAATAACCACAATGGAGTAGCGATTATTATACATAATAGTATTAGATATAAAAAACTTCACTCTTTTTTCGACAATTCTTTGCAAACTATAGCTATTAGTATTGAAGTTAATAATTCTTGGTATTCAGTTGCCAGTATTTACTGTCCTACCAATAGTACACCTAGTTTTACTAAAGCCAAATTTAAGTTCTTTTTGGAGTCTCTTCCTAAACCCACTATCATATCTGGAGATTTAAATGCACATCATACTATGTGGGGTTGTACCTCCACTAATACAAGAGGTAAAGACATTCTTGATTGTTTAGATGAATGTAATTTGGTACTATTAAATGATAAGCAAGTTACTACTGTTGGCTCTCATATTTGGAGACCCAATGGCCTTGATTTAACTATGGTATCCCCATCCATATCATTAAAATGCGAGTGGTCGGTTCATGATGATCCGTTAGGAAGTTATCACCTGCCGACTTTTACTAAAATAAACACAAAGAACTCTTCATCAACTCCGTCAGGTGAACAACATGCTCCTATAGATGAAGTTAATAAACTTTTGTTAAATCGTATAAACCTACGTCTCGTTAATTGGGATCTTTATTCTGAAACTGTTAATCAATTACTTTTGGATTTCGAGTATGATGTCAATGAACCCTTAAACAATTACAATAGGTTCTGTAAAATTATTTTGACAGCTGTGGAACGTTCCGTTCCACGTAGGAACTTATCAAATAGCGGTGCAAATACTTCAAAGAGGCACAAACATATTGCAGTACCTTGGTGGAATAACAGGTGTGCGACAGCTGTCAATGATAGTAAAGCGGCTTACCTTAGGTTTAAACAAAATCCAACTCTCGATAATTACATAAATTTTAAAAGAGTTCAAGCTGTTAAAAAGTTAGTAATTAAGCAAGTAAGACAACAGGGGTGGCAGGAATTTTGTTCCAAATTTAATAGATTAACACCAATTTCCACTGTTTGGCAAAATATGAGAAAACTAAATTCAAAACATCGTCAAAATCATTTTAAAGATATATCATGGGTCAATGATTTTTTACGCAAATATACTCCTGATTTTGTACACTCACCTTTTGATGACAAACAGTTTAATTCTGTTAATTCATGCCCAAAATTTCTCACTGACCCATTCTCAATTGATGAAATATCCAGTGCAGTAAAATCTAGAAAAGATACAGCTAGTGGCCTTGATCGCTTAACATACAATATGTTTCGATTGCTGAATAAAATAAACCTTACTAAACTCTTACAAATTTTTAACGATTTATGGAAGGACTGTATTATCCCACCAGAATGGAAAATGGATTGTTTGATTCCAGTAATTAAACCCGGTAAAGATCCTACAAATTTCGACTCCTATAGACCTATAACATTGACGTCCTGTGCAGGCAAATTATTCGAACAATTAATTAAACAGCGTTTAGAGTTCTTTATTGAAAGTAATAGTATATTACCATCGAATCAATTTGGTTTTCGCCGTGGATATTCAGCGCGCGAAAGTTTAGCGAACTTCTATGTCGACCTTAGTACTGCTTTGAATAACGATGAATATGTTCTATCTGTTTTTTTAGATGTCGTAGGAGCTTTTAACAATGTAAATTTAACAGTTCTATCTTTGATTCTATCCTCATTTCTTCCAATGAAACTTATCGAATGGATTTATAATTTTCTTAGTAATAGAGAAGTGTATGTTAAAGTAAATAGTAAATTAATAGGACCTAGGTTAAGCTCTAAAGGAGTATGTCAAGGTGGTATTTTAAGCCCGCTACTATATATTTTATATATCTATAAACTTAATTCAGTTTTAGGAAACAGTGTGAACAACTTGCAATTTGCCGATGATTTATTAATTTATATAAAAGGAAAGAATATTATTGATATGCAATTAGTGTTAAATGAGTCATTAAAAAGACTTGAGAAATATTTTTCTCTTCTTTCCCTCGATATTAGTTTAACCAAAAGTAAAGTAGTTGTTTTTCATCAAGTTCATAAATATGTTCCATTAATGAATATTATATATAATAATCAAACTCTTCCAACAGACTGTAGCGTTAAATTTCTGGGGGTAATTTTTCATCAAAATTTAAAATGGGATCTATACGTTGATTGCTTAGTAGATCGTGCTTTAAGAGCCACTAATATAATAAGATCTGTAATTGGTCGTAACTGGGGAGCTGATCCTAAAATTATCCTTTTACTTTACAAATCTCTTGTTAGAAGTAATTTTGATTACGCTTTCTTTTGTTATGCCTCAGAACATAAATTAGTAGAAAAACTCGAAAAAATTCAAAATATGAATTTAAGACTTATTTTAGGTGCTATGTATACTTCTCCAATCATCTCAATGCAAGTAGAATGTAATTTGCCTCCTATCCTTCTTCGTTTCGAATACCTAAAACTCAAATTTCTCTTCAAAGTTTTTTCAGTTTCCAATAACCCACTCATACTCAAATTATTAAATTGCCCCATTTCTATGTTTTTGAATAAAACTATTGTCAATGATTTGAATTTACGAGATGAATATAACATCTATAGTAGTAAGATACTTCCTTGTTATAATGGCCTTTATGAGAGTAAGTTCTGTAAGATCAAAATTGTTATACGTAAAGACATAAAAGAAAAGCACGATATGTATGAGACTTTATCAGAATTTATTGACTACAGGCAGATATATACAGATGGTTCCAAAAATGCACTTAGCACTTCAGTGGCTTTTTACGATTTGTCAAATAGATTTGGTCACGGTTATAAAATTTCAACTTTGGCTAGTATTTACACAGCAGAAGCAAAAGCTATATTTTTAGCATTAGAATACATAGAAAAACAGGTACTATATTCGAAATGGATTATAATTACAGATAGTATGAGTGTTCTTATGGCATTAAAAAATAACACATTCATTTCATCATCAAACTACTTAATTCAAGAAATTCGTAATAAATATTATCATCTCTGTACTATATATGGAAAAGATATTATCTTCATCTGGACCCCTTCACATATTGGAGTGTTTGGGAATGAACAAGTAGACACTTTGGCTAAAATTATTAATTCAAGTGCTGCTCGTGTTCAAGATTTACCCCTTTGTTACTCAGATTGTAGTATTGGAATACATAAAATCGTTACAACTAAATGGGAGGAGCATTGGACTCAAATATTACAGACTAAAGGCAAATGGTACCGCAAAATTAATTGGCGTATTGGAAAACCGTGGTTCTGCAAAGGAAAGGACACAAACAGAAAATTTTACACCAATATTTGTAGATTACGAATCGGCCACGGACATTTCAACGAACACCTGCACCGAATGGGCATGATCGCTTCCCCATCATGCACATGGTGTAACTCAAATACAGCCCAATCTCTACATCACCTTTTTTTTTGATTGCTCTGAATTTGTCATTCAAAGACACATTATGTTTGACGAACTTAGGATTATCTTCAAAAAACCCGAAAATATCCCGCACTCAATCCCGCTTCTCTTAAGATTTCCTTCTTGTTTCAAAGCTATTTTCACTTATATTACTACAACATTCAAGGAGCTATAAGAATACTTTTATTGAATTGCAAGACAATGATTTTTTATAATTATTTATTTTTAATTTGATAAATCCACTGGTTTAAGAAAACTCAAGAAAAGATATTTATGAAAATGTACTTACCGGATTTGACAAATGAAATATTGAAGATTATGACAATAATTGAAGCGACATTAGAAAAATAAAATTCCAGACAAATTATCTTTTTGAAGACTAGGCAGCATGGTCTCCGACCTTAGCCTGTTCCAAACGGAACAAACGTACTAAAAAAAAAAAAAACTAGTTACGGTTTCAATTTGTATGTTTCTTTTATTACTTTATTAGTTAATTTAATATTTTGTATTATTACCTAATGATTTGAAAAACGCATAAAGAAGATTGACATATTAAAAATGTCAACAAAATTTATTGGAAAAACTTGTGGTTTTGTAGGTTACGCATTACAATATGCTTGCATTACCCACTGCACATTTGAATATGTAGGGGATTTGGTTGTGGTGAGTTATAATTAATAATTTTTTGATTAGAAAACAAAAATAAGTTCAACAAATAAATATATGTTTGACAAGACAAAAACTCCGACAGATGATGATAGAAAATAGATTGTGAAACTTGTTAACCTGGTAGGTATGTTAATACGGATAAATACAGGCAGTCCTGAGGGTACTTAATTTATTAAGTCAATGTGCCCATGTCTGTAGGCGTTGATTACCATTTCCCATCAGGTGTCCCATTAAATTGTTTAATACTTTTTTGGATAAATAAATTGTATCTTACTGAATATTTTTACAATATTTCAGGTTCCAAGGGTTAGGTCTATCTACCTACAATAAGTAATAGTTTTTCATTCTCATGTTTCAAATATTACACAAGATGTACATACAGCTTATGTGTGTCTATTACTCAATTATTAAAAGTTTATTGACTATAAAATATTGCAATTAATTTATATAACAATCCTGGACTAAATACAAGATTGCTTAAAATCCATGTTGTTACTGTTTTTAGTAGGTATTAATTAAAAGTAAATTTAAGGTCATCATATATAATTCTTAATAATGTACAATAGAATATTGTCTTTAAAAATATCTAATTGTTTTAAATAAATTAAAAAATAATCTTAATTTTTTTTAAACTACATTAACCTGAGTGATGGCAATATACTCCCTCTTCTGCCACATTGGTTTAATATGCTTCAAAGAGTGTAGGCATGTTGAATGTAATTTTCACTATAATGACAAATGTCACTGTCTACCTTATTATAGATAATAGTCATGAACATATTTATACTGTTATTATTTATAATATTATTAAATGGTTCTGGATCTTTACTATTTTTTTATAGGAAAACTTTATAGCTGTTGTTTTTCCTTCAATAAAAAATAAAATAAATATTGTTGACAGTTCAAATAATATTTATTTGTTACAGTGTTCTGGTCCATCTATGGAGCCAACATTGGAGTCAAACAATATACTTCTTACAGAACATATATCTCCTAAACTACAGCGGTTACGGCGTGGTGATATTGTAATCTCTAAAAGTCCTAATAATCCAAAGCAAAATATATGTAAAAGAATTGTAGGAATGCCTGGGGATAAAGTCCGTGGACATTTTCCTAAACGTAGTCAAATTGTGCCAAGAGGACATGTGTGGTTAGAAGGTGACAATTCTAGTAACTCAGCAGATTCTAGAATCTATGGACCTGTACCACAGGGTTTAATACGTAGTAGAGTTGTCTGTCGTGTTTGGCCTTTAGATAAAATTACGTCATTGACCGATTATTGAAATTTTATTGTTTTCAATAATAGTTTGTGAATATTTAAAAATATATTGTAAATAAAACATGTTAGTTAATTATACAATAAATTTAATTTAATCTGATTCTGTATTTGGGTTAATTTCAATTGTTGATACTGATTCTGGCTCCATTACAAATGTTATGTAACTTAGTCTAGTAATAAATATGTGTACAGTCCGTTGACTTTTACGTCTGAAAAAAAAAACAAGAAAATTATTATAATATTGATAGAGGTATTTGAATTATGCTTATAATAAGAAAAGATAGTCATACATATGTGTTGTCTGTAATTTGAGAGAAAATTAATAATAATAATCTTTTTTTTTCTATAACACATATACATAAGCTATGTGTTGATATTATTATAATATTTAATAATCCATTGGGCTCTAGATACTGTACTGACAAAATATGAATCACTTTCTTTTTTAAATATGCATAGGTAAATGTTAAGCTATATTTAGATTAGTGTAAATAACCGTTATAATAAATAGGACCATGACTTACCTGTTATGCATTACTACTACAATGGTTCCTTCAGGCGTCAGCACTGCAACATTTTCAAGTTTGAACAAACTCCAACGTTCCACTCCTATTCTCCTTGAGCGCCTTGGGATGAATTTGGAAAAGTGACCCACAGCATAATACATAGGTTGCTTTACAAACTCATCTTCTTCTGGGTACACCAGAATTGGAGAGTCCACAAAGTTGGAAGCCCAGTTTGGACCACCGTTAGAGTCCAAGCAAAGATTCCAGTCAATCCAACCAACAACGAATCTATTTAAATCCTGAAAATATTATTGAATTATTATTTTTTTATATCTGTAATGATACGTGTTAGGCTTAATGACATACGATCTAAACGTATCATTTGACTCTAAAAATATAAAGATATTGTGTATTGATCCTTATTTAAATAATTTTATTGAACAAGTTTTGTATCAGGCTCTTTTTAATATATATATATATATATATATATATATATATATATATATATATATATATATATATATATATATATATATATATATATATATATATATATATATATATATACATATATACATACATATATATATATATACATATACACACACATACATATCACTCCTTCCTGTTACAAATGTCTGTACTCATACAGGATATTCCAACATAGTGTCAATATTATTCTATTATTTTTGTTTTCGCGTTTTTTTCGAATCGAGGGAATTTAGCAAAATTGTTCATCACGACGAAATGATATAATGAAAAAGATTATAACACAGAGAGAGTACTTGTACTTATATAGGTGCAACAAAATAACAGAGCTGTAAGAAATAAAATGAACGATTTTTATATCGGGAAGACCTCAAGAAAAAATAAGGTCATGAATACTGCATGTCTGAAGAAATTTAGTAATTAATAAATATACAAATAATTTCAAATCCAGGTAGTATTATATTTTGTCGTATATGACGCAAAATTTTAATTAATCAGATAATAATAAATGGTGGTGTTATCTTGCGGAAGTCCATATCACAGCTTATTTGATTAGAATTATTTTGTTTAAGATTGATCAGTTACCAAACAAGATTGAACACTACCAAATAATAATTGGTCAATCTCCGAGTGTTGGCAGTCGTACACATAGTATTGTTAGCGGAATTAAACAAAATAACTGTAATCAAATAAAGGTATTAAATTTAGTATGACACTTTTCATACTCGTAAATAAAAATTAATTTGTGTACGATAGTAGTTCCTAATTATCTTGTAATATTTTATTATCTAATTAAGCCTTATGGGGGGAAAGGGATTGTTAGTAATGGAGACTGAGAATCCCATTGCTAGCAATATATCCAACCAGGTCGACCTCCTCGCGGTTCCCCCTGGAAACTATCATGGTTAATTCCTGATGAATTCATCATGATGGGCTAACTGGCCTGTTTTCATTCTCATCTATCACCCTTCACTGGTGCTCCGTCAGCGTATTCCGTTAGTGCAGGCGGGGTTACCATACCATTTTCACCCATCAAAAAAAAAAAATTAGCCTTATATCAGCAGAAAACTGATGAATGCATACATTATAATTGTAGTCGATTTATGCTAAGTATTACGTAGTTTTATAATCAGATAATAATTTTTGTAATACCTACTCGATGACTCAATAAAAATTATTAATATATTTTATACTAGGTGTCGGCATGGGCAGATAGAATTTTCGAAAATAATATATTTCTCGTTGCTTTTGGACATTTATATAGGTGAAAGATTTTTTGAAATCGGTTAAGTAGTTTTTTTAATTTATTAACACAAAGAAATATTTCCTGTTTTTATATTAGTGTGAAATTGGTTGCCTGTTTCTTTTCATCCAGTCTGTAAAGGGGTCGCCAGTATGTGAAGGGTTCGTTGAATAGAACGATAAAATAGAAAATACTGAATAAAGATATATTTTCCCTAGTACAATAATAGTGATATTTAAAAATGACGTTCTCTAACAAGAAAATATTATTTAACAGAAAAGAAAAATAAATAATTGTATTTTTAAAAGTAATATAAATAAAATCTCAATAACTAGTATATCATCATCACCATCTCGGCCATTATCTGTCCATTGCTGGATATCGGCCTTCCCATATACTGCCATAAGAAACGGCCCTGAGCCACCTGTATCTATTGACTCCTTGCAATCCATTTGAGGTCGTCACTCTATCTAGTCGGGGGTTGTCCTACATTCAAGGACCTTTCTTCCCTATCGGTTGTTGGTTCCTCGAGCTTATATGTATATAGATAATTATGGGTAGATATAAAACATGTCCAAATATCAATGTTTCTATACGACATACGTACCTCAATAATACTGGATATATATCTCTTTGCACGTCGCCATGATCCAATTGCGACTTTCTCCCTATTCCAGGGCATCGAACCTGTTTACATGGAAAATTGCATAAATGCCTGATTAATCAAAACAGAACAGATATAATATATATTGTGTTGTAATTTTTTTATATAAAATTAGTGTATAAAAGTCATGTGCTTGGCTACCTGTTCCACTTATGTTTCTGCAGTACTTGCGTTCAGCTATACTTGCATGGCTGTTTCGTTTTAAATGTGGAACATGGCAGTGAAATTAGAGAGTATGGAGAGATAACACCTTAGCCCTTAAGAATGACACAGGATGAGTGACATAGTAGTGTTCTTGCCTACATGACCGTTACCACTTTTCATTAGGGAGCAGACACACTACAGTTGCCATTCTTTTGCCAAAAAAAAAATATATAGAGAGAGAGATGCTTATGTGTCTGGATTAATAATATTAAAAGGATAGATTGGCTTTGTTGTTTGTAATAAATAAACTCAAAAAAAAAAACTATATCAAAATAAAAATAATAAATCAATATTAATAAATAAAATAAATAATAAAGGTTGTCTGGAATAAATCGCTTTAGTAAAAAGACCGCATTTTATACTTTATAAGTGTAATATCTAGGTATATTTTTTCTTGTATTATTTTTAAGGTGGTATAAAAAAGAGATAATAAATCGCTTTAGAAAGCTACAGCTTACTATAGGTAAAAGAATTTTTACAGCCATGTTACTAGCTAATAATCTATTATTAGTCAATAACATGGGCTGTATTATAAATAATTTATCATTCGTTGGGTCTCTGGTCCTTATTCTATAAACGTACCTTCACTTGCTTCCGTCGAGAGCAAGATTTTATTAGGATAGCGTTGTTGAATCCTCGATAAAACCAATGATGGTACAAAGTTACCGTAGTAATGTATGGCGATACCATCAATAAAATCAATAGACCGTGGGTCTTCTCTTTCCATCTGCAATTTTAAAGGTCTGTGTAAGTATATTTTTGACCTCTTACAGGTTTTGTTTAATGGGTGAAATGGTAACCCACCTGGCCCATCGATATACGCTGGCAGAGTATCAATGATAGATGATTGGTGAGGATGAAGACAAGTCAGTTAGCCCATCGTGAAGAATTCAACAAGAATTAACTACGATGGTTTCCAAGGGGAACCGCGTGGAGGTCGACCTGCTTATATTGCTAGCAATGGGGCTATTAGAGCTAATGGGCTAAATTTTAGGCCATTACTAACAATCCCTTTACCCCCACCTCATACAGGTTGATGTAGTGTAAGGCGACCTCCAGTAGATAGTTCAACAATTTTTTTATGTATTGCGGACAGAAGATAAACGCATATTTGTTGACAATCTTTATGCTAGTCTGTGGGAGAGGCTCATGTGGAAATCGAACAATTATCTAAAATGATGTTGGTAAATACTTTTAGATACCGCACTAAGTATATAATGTGGACATCCTTCTATATATTTATAGGTGCTTATATTATTTACTTAATGCGTGCAAGTCGCTGAATTGTCTTTAATTATATAAAATTAGGATTAACAGTCGTATTTACTGACTTAATTTTGATTTTATTATTATCGAGTGTACTTTGCCTTTTAAGGACTTAAAATATATTATGATAAGTATATCTTTCTATATGTACATTGATGTATAAAAAACCTTAGATACACAATTAAAGACAAAAAAACGGCACTGTAAATAGAGATTACTACATTTAGATTTTTTACTACAAATACGATACCTAAGTAATTGTAATTCTATTCATACTTAGTCCAATGATAACTATTTATATTTACAAATTAAAACCTTTAAGCATAACTTTTATATAGGATTGTGGATCTGTTTCTTGTATATCAATATATAATTTTACAGTTACTTATTAGTTTATTACTGTACTACCTACTATTACTTATAGTTGTTTAATGGATGATAATGGAATGGTAACCCCGCCTGCTTTAATGGTATTTGCTGGCGGAGCACCAGTGAGGGATCATAGGTGAGGATAAAAAGGCAGTTCAATTAGCCCATCGTGATGAATAGACATGAAATGCATCATGATAGGTTCCAGGAGGACCACGAGGAGGTCGGTTACGGGTATATTGCTAGCAATGGGACTGGTAGTCCAAATTACTAACAGTCCCTTCCCCCTAATGTTACTTATAGTTGTCTATTAGTTATATATACATTATTATTTTTATCTATGTTACTATTCTATATACAAAACTTACTCCTCTTAACCAAGCAGGTAAAACGTAACGTTGATCGTCAACAGCCAAAATCAATGTATCGGAGAAGCTTGAATTTCTTAATGTGGGACCTAGATTATTTGCCACCCAGCGCCCCTGTAATAAAATTAGAAACCATTAACGACTATGCCGTGTGGTCCTGGCATAGAATGAGCCACCCTGTCTTTTTCCATGAGTGTCGTAAGAGGCGAGGTAACTAGTGCTAAAACTTTCCTTATGGGGAATGTCTATGTTCAGCAATGGACAGTTAAAGGCTGATATAATAATAATAAAAAAAATACTTTTAACTAATTTATGTAATGTTTCAGCCGATATTTATGTACATTAAAAAAACATGAAAGTCGGTTTCGAAGTACCTAGACGATACTAAGACAAGTTCCATTAAAACAGAAGAAATAAAATAATCAACAGAATTGATATCGTGTAATATACAAAAAGTACAGTTTAATTCAGAACCTTCTTTTGAAATCTTATGAACTTTTGAATAATATTCTATATATAAAACTTATCCCCCAACTCTTTAACCAAGCAGGTAAAACTTTCTTGATCGTCAACAGCCAAAATCAATGTATCGGAGCCCAACATTGAATCGTCTCCAAACATGCTTCCGGACCTAGGTTATTTGCGATCTTACACTACTAACGTCCCTGTCAATAATCTCTTCTGAAACCATTAACGACTCATTTGAACTTGGCTGCATAGAATGAGTCTAAGACAGACTGTTCTTTTGTATGAGTGTCGTAATATTTATGTATGAATTATCGTGTATAAGTATATTAATATATAAAAATATGTATTATCGTGTACAAGTGATAAAATGTTCTATATGAATAAATAATTTTGATTTTTTGATGTCGCGTTTCTGGGCTTGGCTTCCGTATACGTTTAGCTATCGCCACGACTAGGTACTCCTTAAGTGATTACAGGAAGAGTATTTTGATAATACACGCGTCTTATGGAAGATTGGAAGAAGATTGTAATCTTTTGAGGATCTATACTAACCAGTTGTCCAGGTGTCCACCCTAATGAGTTGAAGTTTGCGACAGGTACAATCCCGTTTAGGGGTTCGTTAGTTGTTGTAATTGCCCATATCTTTACATGGGCTCTTGCATATGCCTCCATAAAGCTGTGAAATAAATTGTGTTTTATGGTTATTGTTGCAAAAGAAACATAATTAAAAAGCTTTAGTGGCGATGGTAGGCTCGCCTCTCAAACGATTTTAGATGACTATACACTATAATGAAAAATATATATGACAACTTGAAGTATTTGCGTTGCTTATACACTATGTTTTTTTTATTAGATACTTATTCTAAACCATTTTACTTATTTTTTAATCAACTTAAAATACTGCAAACAAGCTGGCGGTTCACCTGATGGAAAGTGGTAACCGTTGCCTATAGACATGAGCAGTAACCATAGACATAACAGAGTATCCTGTTTTGCCCGTTGCCATTCCTGAGGACTCAGCTTTACGGTTGAAACACGAATGGGACAGAGGTACCCAAGCAAATGGCTTTTATACAGTCTCCTTCTGGTGATTTATTACTATAGGATCTTTATTCTTTATTGTACACAAGACATACTGTTAATTACAATTCATTATAAACATAATGTACAAAGGCGAGCTTATCTGTAATAAGAGATCTTTATGATTTTGATATATAATTTGCATTACACTCACCGTATGTGATAATCAGCATAAGTCTGATAGAACTCGGGCTTTAGCTGACCGAATCCAGTGATTCTTTCATTGGACTTCATCCAAACTGGAGGTGACCAGGTGCTTGCTGTGATTTTCACCTCGTTGTTTGTCGCAGCTGCGGCAGCTTGACCTAATCTGATCAATGGGAGCTGAAATTGTTTTAAATTATAATTTTAGTTGGAATATCTGGAGATCTTGTAACTACAGATGATAATAATAGTGAATATAGTCAATAAATATTTATACTATATCTATATATTTTTTAATATATTCATATGTTTCAATAATAAAAGATTTCATCTGAACGATTTCTTTCTGATGAAATAAATAAGTTCTGATAAAATACGCGGCAGTTTCTAAATTAGACTATATTATTAAATTTATGTTAAAATCCATTTACACATTATGGCAACGTTAAAGACAGATTAATTTTATAACCCTTTCTTTTTGTTTTCCGTAGTCGAAAAACAGTAATTGGTTTCCAAAATAAATGAAAATATAATTGACAAAGTAAAAATAAAGGAAAGAGTATAATAACTTTATTATAAAATGCTATAATTATAGCTACTAGTACTTCAGTTTTAATGAAACTAACCTTATAAAATAAGTCCTCTTCTGAAAGAGTAAAGTTAGTAAGTGCCACATCATTCCAAGGTAACTCATTGTAGGCATATGGGTGTGTCGAGAAGTCTGAACCACCGATAGGAACACGGATCATATTATATTCAATACCCTTGTTGCTAAAATATGTACTGTAAAAAAAAACCAAAAGATTATCTATGATACCGACTCAAAAACATACTTAGGACTTTTTTTTGATGGGTAAAAATGGTATGGCAACTCCGCCTGCGCTAACGGGATGTGCTGGCGGAGCACCAGTGAAGGGTGATAGATGAGAATGAAAACAGGCCAGTTAGTCCATCATGATGAATTCATCAGGAATTAACCATGATAGTTTCCAGGGAGAACCGCAAGGAGGTCGACCTGGTTGGGTATATTGCTAGCAATGGGATTCTCAGTCTCTATTACTAACAATCCCTTTCCCCCCATACTTAGGACTTAGCTACAACTAGTTTTAATCCTAAGTTTTAATCATAAGTACATTATTTATTTGTTTATTTCATCAACTGAGTGAACTTTACAGTCTCCCAATATGCTTATCCAAGAAATTATGTATGACTGGTCAATGATACAGTGTACCTATACTTACTCGATAAATTGCCTTTGGGCGCCATCGGACAGTTTACGCCAGTTGATAGCAGCAGCGTCCGTCACAGATCCACCAAAACCTTCAATTTCTTGCCTGTATATAATGGTATACACTCTTATGACGACTCGTTTCCAAAGCGGATCTGTACCAAGTAAATAATCAAATTGTATAATAATAACATTTTATATATGTTAGGTAAGTAGTAACTAGTTTTGGATGTAAATACAATAATTTGGAATTTTGTTCCGCGATACTGACAAAATAACTTAACAAATGCTCCTAACAATTATTCCGAACCGACGTAGATTCTTTTATATGCATGATGTCTAATGGATTAATGGAATAACTGTCCACTGCTGAACATAAGCCTCCCGTTGGGGGGTTATACTAATAATTGCCACGCTTGACAGGCAGATTGGCAACCGCAGTTAGGCTTTGGTGATGTTTTAAGAGGGATGCTGCTGCCCATCTATCGCCCTCCCTTAGTCGCCTCTTACGACACCCACGGGAAAGGAAGGTGTGCCCTATTTTATACCAGAACCGACACTATAGTATTAGCACAGTATAAGGGGGGGAAGGGATTCTTAGTAATGGAGACTGAGAATCCCATTGCTAGCAATATAGCCAACCAGGTCGACCTCCTCGCGGTTCCCCCTGGAAACTATCATGGTTAATTCCTGATGAATTCATCATGGGCTAACTGGCCTGTTTTCATTCTCATCGATCACCCTTTACTGGTGCCTCACCAGCGTATCCCGTTAGCGCAGGCGTGGTTACCACTCCATTTTCATCCAATAAAAAAGCACAGTACAAGTAATAGTACTAAAGCAGTATTAGTAAGAATTCTTCCATCTCCCTTCTATGCTGATATATTTTTTTTAGCCCCCCGTAGGAGTGCTGCTTGTTTCCGGATATTAATTTCCAGGTATTTTTAGCTACTTTTATTTTCTTCTAAGTTTTCCTCACTCTTTACTACTATGTTTCCTTCATTCCTCATTTTTCATTCCACTTTTTCCCATTTGTTGTAACGATCTGTGGATATTTATTGGGTGAAAATGGAATAGCAGTTCTACCTGCGCGCTAATAGTGCACGCTGGCGGGATACCGGTGAGGGATAATATTCGTAGGTGAGGATGTAAGCAGGTTGTTTAGCCTATTGCGATTAATTCAAGAATCAACCACGATGGTCTCCAGGTATATGGTTAGGGCTGCTAGACCCCATTACTAATAGGTCCTTTCCCACTTCTGAGTAGTTTAGTTTCTAATTAACTAAATATAGCTGAATTGTATGGTAGTTAGATACTAAAAGTAGAGAATACTTAGATATTATCACAGATAGATATTATATTAATATTGCTATTACGTACATATATAGGCAGGCTAAAAGGTAATATAAAGCAAATGGTTTCATATCTAATCAGATAAACACTGGAAAAATAAGTACTTACCCTGGAACTCGTCTGTAAAATTTGCTCCAAAATCAAAATTAAAATATTTTTCTTTCTCATCTTCGTCTGTATCTATCGATATGTCTATAGGGTCGATGTCTTCGACCGTTTCCGAGGTTCTATTTAATAAGCTTTGTATACTGCCGTAACTTTTTTCAAATCGTTTGCCATCCTGCAAGAGATAATTAATAAGCTAGTAAGAATACATGGATACCAACTAAATGGAAATTCATTTAGATTCATTTACATTTTTTTGTTCTTCTTAGCGAATCTATGGCAAAATAATAAACAAGATGTTTAATATTCACCTGGATCGCATTTACGTTGAAAATTAAGTATATATTTATAATAATACATTTTAATAAAAATTAATATTATTTTTTAAAATCAGTAACTATGTTTTGTCACCATGCTTGTGTATAACAAAGAATAGACAATAAAATAAGAAAAAAATACACAAATAATCGACTTACGTATATACGTATGATTCCAAAAATAAATTTACTCATTCGACTATAATAACTTATGTCTTTTTATGTAACTTAGAATGGCAAACAAGCTAACAGCCTAACTGATGGTAAGTGGTTATTATAGCCTATGGATATGAACAGTACCATAGACATAACAGAGTATACTGTATCGTCCATGATTCGTTCTCATGCATTGCTATTTATGAGGATTAAAGTGTTATGGAGTACCGCGGCAGTCTCTGGGATTAATTTTGATTTGTTAACCGTGTATTTTATCACCAGACATTTAGCCGGAATATTAAAATGACAACCAAAATTTTCGCTGTCGACCATCTACTCTTTCATTGATTAGCTTATCAAGGATTGCAGTTGTAAGCATATTTACATATATAATTTGGTGCAGTAGATTTTGCGTGTTGTCGGAAAAAACAAACAGACAGATGAAATTTCTAAAAATCATTGTTTTGGCATATATTGATCTAATGAAGTCTTGTATAATAATTTTATTCAAATATGCCCTACAAACACCGTCTAATTTATTATATAATAATTATTTTATTATATAATTAAGATATACATTAGAGGATGATACTGTGTAAAATTTGTATATGTGGGGCCTTCTGTCTCACTCGAGTTTGTTGTTGTTGTCAGTTCGAGTTCGACTGTCATGAAACAGTTCTTCTTCTTCTTCTTCTTTTCATTAATGGCAATCGGTCGCTATTTTTACGACCATTTCTGCCAGCGTCATGTATAGGAGAATATGAAACAGTTCTAGGCTATGTTTTGGTTTGAAAGGTGAGATATGTATTGTACAATAATTGTCTTTTTCTCAATGTCCTCTACCCAAAGGTTGTCTGGAAGAGATTGCTTAGCGATAAGGCCGCCTTTTGTATTACTTCTCGTTAATATTTACTGTATTTGTTATTTTTCTATTTACTTGGTGCAATAAAGTGTAAAATAAATAAATAAATATTGCAGTTAAATTATACAGTTATCATTATATCAACTGTTAACTGTCGGCTACTGAACATAGGTCTTCCATATCAAGTATCAATGTATCTCGCAACATTTCTCATTATAGTATGTGCGATAAAAATATTTTTAACTTACTTTGCTTGATGTGTACCTAACAAAACTTCTCGGAGCAGGGATTTCTCTTGTGATAGTGTCGCAGTAAGTAGCGTTACAAACGCATACTATTGACCGGCCTTCAATGCCTACATTGCGAGCAGCGCACGGTAGGTCTTCTGCAATTTGTAAAAAAAATAATAATAAAAAATAATATAATAACTAAGGAACGTATGAAATTTATAGCTTTATATATATATTTCGTATTTTCTTAGAAATATTTCCATTATCAAAGATAATTTCACTAATACAGTTTTCTTTGAAATTTGCACGGAATATTTAATTATAATTATCAATCATTTGATAATTAATTATTCTAGTAATAGGTTTTTATAACATTACTAGTGACTCGCATGGCTTCTCGCGGATATTCGGGCATATGTTCTTCAAATATAAATTTTAGAATACCTTTATCTCGTTAAAGAATTACAAAACAATGATTGTAAGTATATGCAAACCCGGACTATAGAATTTGAATGCTTAGATATTCACATCGTTCAATTTTATAGATTTGGCATTCTTTCTTTTTAAGCGTCATCTACCCTCTATTTTGGGGGGAAAGGGATTGACAGTTTGACGGCCCCATTGCTAGCAATATGCCTTATTAGGTCGACCTCCACGTGGTTCCCCCTTGAAACTATCGTAAACAATTCTTGTTGAATTCGTCACGATTGGCTAACTGACCTACTTCATCCTCACCTATCATCCTTCACTGGTGCCCCGCCGGTGTAAACCGATAGCGCGGGTGGGGCTACCATTCCATTATCATCCATTAAAAAAAATACCCTCTATTTTACCCCCCCTTGATTTATATTCTGTCGCTTTGGACATTAGTACCTACTCATCTAGCTTGAGATCCCATCACTGAATTGTACATAAGAAGAATAAACTTTCTTTTAAAGTTTTTTTTATATATTTTATATAACAATTAGTTCTTTAAAGATTTTTTTCAATGTCTGAAATGCATTAAGGATGTTACTGCTGTTGTAAATTTTTACAACTATGGTAATCATCAGATTTTCTTTTTTTTTTTTGATAGTCACATTTTAATTATAATATATATCATTTGTGTATAAATGGATTACGGGAATTTAAGGAATTTACTATGTTTATTATTTTTGATAAAAAAAAAAAAACCATCCGATATAAGTAAACCATATTATCTTATCTTTGTGATTAAAAATGTTACAAATTTCACTAGATGTAGAAATATTTAATGTCAATTTATTTCATATTTTAGGTACTTACCTGACTTTCCGAGAGAAACCAAGAAAAGCGCAAATGATATTATTGCAAGGACTCGTCCATTTTTGATTGTCGCCATCTTTAAATATAAAAGTAGTTTGTCTGTACTAAATTGTAATTCATCATTCATCATCATTTCAGCCATTATCCGTCCACTGCTAGACATAAGCCTCCCCCATAGACTGCCATAAAGAACGGTGTTAAACCACCTGCATCCACTGACTCCTTGCAATGTATTTCAGGTCGTCACTCCATCTAGTCGGGGGTCGTCCTACACTGCGTTTACCCGTCAGCACTCAAGTATTGCAGGCGTCCATAGGCTACAGTAACTATTAACCCTAAGACGGGCTGTATGCTTTTTTGTCACGTTTGTGGTATAAAAAAAAAGATATTACGGATTTAATTTAGCATATGAGTTTTGGTCACTAAACAAATCTTTTCATGTATCATATATATCACTAATTAGTCGCATAAGATTATGTTTACGACCATTCAAACCATCGTTACAAAATTATTATTGAACAAATATTATCGTAAGTAAAAAACTCATTAAAATCGATTCGCTTTTCGTCCGGTACTCCATATGCGTAGTTTTTGTGTAGGAAACCCATTGAAACGTACCACTTCTAGGTAGTATATTAGTAATGTAGACTACTAGTTGCTAGCAGTATACCCTGTCAGATCGAACTTCACGTGGTCCCACCTGGAAACCATCGTGCTGAATTCCAGGTGTATTCATCAGGATGCGCTGAATGATTTGCCTTTTCATTCTCACTTATCATCTTTCACTGGTGCACCGCCAGCGTATACCGCTAGCGCTGGCGGGGCTTCCATTATCATCTATTAAAAAAATACAGTCGAGCGATAGGCAGCGTTCTTCTTAAAACATTACCAAAGTCTAACTGCGGTTGTCGACCTTTCTGAGAAGCGAGGCAAGTATTGGCATAACCCTTCCAATAGCAATGGCCTATGTCCAGTAGTGGGCAGTTAAAAGCTGATATAATTATGATGAGTCGTAATTGGTAATCTATACTTATAATAAATCTGTGGATAGGTCAATTCTGTACATGAAATATATTTCCAAAATAACTATCAGGGGGTGATTAGTAATCGATACTGATGCCAAAAATGCAATCAGTAAAATTTATGTCCGTCTGTCTTTCTGTCTGTATGTTCGTTATAGAAAGAAAAACTACTCGACGGATTTTAACGAAACTTTGTACAATTATTCTTCGTACTCCTGAGCAGGTTATTGTATACTTTTCACCACGCTACGATCAATAGGAGCAGAGCAGTTAAGGGAAATGTTGGTAAAACGGGAGAAGTTACTCCATTTTTAAGCTTCCGTCGCGTGAACAGCCTTAATGGCTACTTTTTAAAATGTAAAAATGTCCATCCGTGCGACGCCGGGACGGGCCGCTAGTTAATAATATAAATTCAGTATACCACTTACCTTATTTGCCACCTGTCTTTATTACTTTCTCAGTGTAAACTAGAACTTTACGACAATTCTTTATCAAAATGATACTAATTAATCATGATTAATAAATCTATCTATTTAATACTATCAGCTAAGGAAAGATAACGACACTAATTTTATATACTAGTCCAATATTGTGTATTTACACAATTTATTTTTTAGAAACTGACTTGATCGCGACTGCGTACACATGCATTATGGGTAGTAGGAAACGCAACTGTAAAAACTACATCTAATTTGGAATAGTTTTTACTTGAAACTATAACCAATACAGAGAACAAAAATTTAAATATTCTTATTTACTAGCTGTATCCCGTGACTCCGTTTGCGTGAATCAGTACATAAAATAATCATTACATAAAATGTACTAAGTTAGGTTGTAAGCTATTCGTGAACCAAATCAATGAAATCCGTTCAATAGTTTTTACGTGAAACAGTAACAAACATCTATCCATCCATCTATCGTAACAAACTAGTATTTATTAATAGGATTAGGTTTCATTCGATTGTCCCTATTAAAATGCTTCATATATATATATATATATATATATTTTATTTTATTATTTTATTCTACATATAGGGTCGAAAACGTTTTTGTTCTTGTTTTTCTTTGTTTACTGATATTTTTGTTTTTTACCTATTGTTATGCGCATGTTTGTGTATTGTGTTACTCATTCATGATCTTGATGGACCGGGCTAGGTGATGAGGTGCTAATTGAAAATCAGCGTTCCTGCTTTTGCAGAAACTTTAAGTTGAATTGGCATCCTTTTTCATTACCATAACACTGTCTGATTGCGACTACTCTTTATATATAAATGTAAACCTTTTTTTTCCATATTTATTTTTATGTTGCTATTACTTATAATCTATGTATATGTAAGTGTTATGGTTTATTGAAATAAATTTTTATTCATTCATATAAATTTTTTTTTTTACATTTTCTTAAATATGTTCACATCATTTATTTACCGTTTTATTATATCAGTAGGTATTAGGATATAATGTGATTACCTGTATAGTATGGTGAAATGAAATTAGTATTTAGCATTTCAGGCTTAAAGCTCTCCGTTATACAAATAGCAAAGGAATCTACTGGATGTTTTACTGCGATACTGTGATAAACAATTTCAATTGTTCGTGCTTTGTAGTGGGCCCTTATCATCAGGTGGCCCATACCTAAACATAGATATACTTATTATACACTAGCTATTGCCTGTGATTTTTTACGCATGGATTTTAAAAGTAGACTATTTTAAGATGGCGTTCCAAGATAAAACATAGATTTAAGTTATCCACACAATTTGGTGCATTAGTTTTACGTGAAACTGAAATACATATAAATAGACAAAAATGCTCAAAACTGCTTAAACATCTATGTACAGACATCATCTAGTTAGAATTTTATAATATATACATAGATATAGATTATATTGTTTTTCAACGTTAAGCTGTTTATATCGAAAAAAAATGTTGACAATAATTCTTACATCACGTTATCATTTCCGATTATGTATATTTAATAAGTAGATGTAAATCGTGGCGATTAAAAGTGATGGCATAATAAAAATATTTTTTCAACTTCGCGGGGAGTTAAGTCCAACTATCTTATACCAGTTTTAGGATAAGGTCAAAAACATTCCAAATTTAAAAAAATAACATACACATGATTTTTAAGAAGACAATATAATTAAATTTTCATACAAATCTTTAACATAATCTTTAAAATACTGTACAGTGTCGGCTAGTTTTGCAGTTAATCATTTGTATTAGATAAATAATATACTTATAACATTTTGTTTTTGACATCTTACACGAATAATCATGGAGGAAAATATATAAAAGTCACAAATGATTTTACCCAAATCTGCCGACTAAAACTTTATTCATTCTGATATGGCAGATTGTCGATATGAAAGACTTTAGAAGCAAAATTGCTTAGAACACTAAAACTGAAAGAAATGCACTAAAATATATAATTAATTATTTACAAAAATCCTTTTTATTATTGAATATCGACCTCTTCGAACAATTCCATACACTAACGCTAGCAAAAGAGTGTAATAAAACTGTGTTAATCTCATCTGAGTACATAATATAACAATAATAGTAAATAAATCACAACAAGGCAGATCTCTTTTGCTTGTTTAATTTATTGTTTTTCTTTTTACAATCATCATATCGTAATGTGTCCTTACATTGGGACATAATTTAAACCGATTTCTGAATTGAGTATTTTCAATACTAAATATTAGTTATTTTATTAGTATAATTGAAGAAAATAAAAGTTTTTAAAAGAAGGATTTGTACAATTACATATGTCAGAAAACAATCTCTCGCCTAAATATAATGAAAATATATTGATACTCGTCGTGTGGTCCTGATATAGAATGAGCCACTCCTTCCTGCCTGTGGGTGTCGTTAGAAACGACTAAGAAAACCTAATGGTTGAGTGATAGGCAGCAGTCTCCTTAAAAACATCGCCAAAGCTGGTTAACTGGTTGCCAATTTGGCTGCCAAGAGTGGTAACTACTGGCAAAACCCTCCTTTTGGGGGAGGCCTATGTTAATCAGTGGACAGTCGGCAGCTATGATGATATTGATAATATACCATGAATAAATACTCAATTTAGAAATCGGTTCTTAATAAAAATTAGCACCTTCAGAAGGTCCGATACAGTTGTTGGAGAAAAATTATTAATTGCAAACGAAAATTAAGTTCAATCGCTTAAGTACTATGTGACATATTTATGTATAAATTTTCTGAACGACCATCGCCATATTTAAAAAAAAAAAAAGAAATCAATCTTAAAGCTATTCACTTTACAATTTACCTAATATAAATCTATGAAATAAATACAAAAATCTCTTATTATTAACTAAGATAATATTTTCCTACATCATGTCTTGAAACTAAATACTATGTAATGCACATAAACTTAACACAGTAAACTTAAATTTGCGCGCGGCTCGCACCGTACGCGTGGGAGGACCCTTAATATATTTGACTAAAAGAGAGATCAAATCATTGCCACGTAAACTTATTGTATAAGCCGGCAGGCCGTTTTGAGTAATGTCCAGTCCACACTCATTTGTACTTTGAAACGTGAAAGTAAGGTGGCCTTGTGGTAGTGAAGCGAACGGTCTGTGCTCAAATTAAGTTTTTAATACAAATACGATACGTATTAAATATGACAAGAATTATTATACTATTAAAGTAAGTTAAAATTGTTTAGAAATAGCAAAGCATGAGGTGTATTATGAAATCTCAGTGCAATGTGTAACAATTATAGTGCTGTTTATGTTTACTTTACATTAGGTTGCATAAAATAATAGTCTTAGCTGAAGTATTAGGTGCTAAAAATGAATGAAATGGCGTCTAAATCTGGCAATAAGTATGGAAAAATGTAGATCAGCGCTTTGTGCTTTGAGCGCTGATATGTTTATAGGCAATGATTACTACTTTCTATTAGGTTGCATAAAATAGTCATACATAAAAGCATTGATAGATGATAATGGAATGGTAACCCCGCCTGCGCTAACAGTATACACTGGCGGGGCGGAAGATGTATCATTGGGTGCTAAAATTAATGAAATAGCATCTAAATCTGGCAATAAGTGGGGGAAAATGTAGATAAGCACTTTATGCTTTGTAATGAAAAAAAAGTATGTTCTAAGCGTTACACTTCATCTTCAGGTAAGAAATTGCTATTGATCAGATGTGTGATGTGATTTGTTTAAAAATCTCCTGCCTGCTAATTGATAAAGGAATCTGTCGATAAATACGTTGACGTTAGCACACATATGTTTAAGAACAAGACGTCTGACGTTATCTCGTTCTAACTTATGCACGTGGTAGCGGTGACGTGTTTATCGGTGGATTTGTTTGCTACTTGGGGAATTTACCCACACTAGATGACCCATTTATTACAATTTTCACCCGTTTCTCTAAGTTTATATGTAATCAGGTGTGAAAATAAATTTCATAGCAATCGTAATTGTCATAAAAACCAAATTTTAGCACAGGTGCGGGTGTCGAGAGGCGACAAATGAGAAACAATAGGGACAGGGAGTACTGAAGTCAAAATCAAGGATACATAGCTGCCAAAGATAGTTTGGAAATTAATGGAACAGAACGTAAGACGGATATTGTCATTAACATATCCTTGTGACCGATTGTAACCTATTTCTCTCATATAATACAACTTTATTACACATCCATAAATCTGGCAGATCATCTGAACACAATGTACACTATTTATAAATGTATAAATAGATACATTATTATGTATATATATACAAGTAAACGTTGGTACACTTTGAGATACTGATTGTGGCAAAGACATTTTTCTGATAAACATAAAGAAAATCCTTATAAACAATATAATAGAAAAAGGCAAGGTTATTAAGACGTTGAAATCAAAGAATAAATTCCGTGTTATCCCCTTGAAAATAAGAGATAGATATTCTATTGAGCATTCTTAGGTGAATAAAAAAAAAGCAAACTATAAAATTGTACCACGAGCATTTAACAAAACGTCTGATAAAGTTTACTAGAGACAATACTTAACAAATCTATACTTATTAAAACTATGTTCATTCGGTATCCTACACTAAGTTTTAATCTTTTCACTGTTACACCTTCCTTATCGTTTAACTATATCTATATTAATAAGCCAGTGAAAAGATTAAATATGCTCAAGTAATTTATGTTAATGTAACATAATTAGAGGCACTGCGTGTATTCATTTCTATACTCTTATTTGACATTATTTTACACGATTACTACTGAACTATATTCAGTATTATAAGAATTATGTAAAATATTATTGTTACTCTCATCAATGAACGTGGCGAAAGGAAAATTTTAATATGAAACCGATAGTTTTATTAGAAAATACATCGGAAATGTCTAAACGCTGTCGCGTGACTACAAGTGACGACCCGACCATCTGTTTTACATTAGATATTCAAAATTGAGCTATACAATAAACATTTAGTTACAAAAATACTTGTAGCGTAATTTTCAGATCACATTTTGCTATTTATAATCATTATATCGATAATGACTCTTCAATTTCTGATAAAGTAACGTGCCGGATGGAAATAAGAGTAGCACTCGTATAACGTATCGGAAGACCTACTCGAGTGTAGATAGTAAGGGTAATATATACCAATATTTATATATAAGATAGTTACAATATCTAAACATATATTGGCCCAATAACAGATATTTTAGATATTAGATATCCAATATATAATATCGAAAAGAACTCGCTCGTAATGAATATTGATATTCGATTGGTATGGGCGGTATCGGAATGGTTGGTCATCAGTATCCAGATCTCAATATATAGATATCGGATATTACCCATCTCTAATAGATAGTGTGATTCTAAGCCTGCCCACATTGCACACGCTGTGTGACTACGTGTGAAGTGTGTCCAGGTGCTTAGAAATCGAATGGCACGACCGCGTGTCGCGACCGTGTACTAATCGCTCGATCCGCTTACATCGCTTATATCGCTTGCATCGCTCACACAGCTTACACCGCGCAGAGCACGTGACGAGCGGTAGAAGCGGTGGCAGCGAGCGAGCGGAGTGAGCGTTTGATTCAGTCTTTCACGAGCCTGTAGATGTGGTGTTGAGCGCCGTGCTCACTGTTCGACACTTCAAATACGAACGCGGCGCACAGTAGCGTCTCTTGAGTATCTCTGTTCGACACCACCTGAGGAACAATCGAAGAATGAATTAGAAGATATGATAATAAATAGATGTATTTTCTATTCACAATTCATTACAGTGAAATACAATGAGACGTGCTTATATTAAAGTTATCAAATTATAAATATTGTGAGAGACTGGCGTCTGAGATAGGTATAAGAATACCTGTATTACAGGTCACCAGGGCCTTACTCCGCAGGGTCACTTACTAAGTACTTGTAATATAATAATAATAACAAGTGAATTCAATGTAATAAATACTATGATGCAACTATATTGTCAGTCTTATCTTTTTAATGGCTGATGATGGAATGGTAACCCCGCCTGCGTTATCGGTATACGCTGGCGGGGCACGATTGAGGGATGATAGGTGACGATGAAAGCAGGTCGATTAGCCCATCATGACAAATTCCACTAGAATTAACCACGTTGGTTTCCAGGGGGAACCGCGTGGAGGTCGACCTGATAGGATGTATTACTGGCAGGCTAGGTCAGTTAGAACTCATTACTAACACTTCCTTTCCCCTTTGTTGATCTTATCAATACTAAAGATCTCAAAGGGTAATCATACAGTATGTTGCACCTGAATCTACCACTAATAAAAGAAAAAAAAAAATGGCGAATTTTAAAATATTTTTAAAAGCATAATCAATGTTTATTTAGAAATAGGCAAACATTACACAAAAATCTAGTTTTCAGGTATATTTAAATAAGAATAGAAAAGAATTAAGTTGTGTATTAAATACTCATACCGTGTCGTAACTGTTTGCGCGAAGATAAAATTCACAAAGAAAGGAGACAAGATTGTGGATGCCATTTGTATGCGTCACCAGTAACTTGTATGACTAAGAATAATAATCATTTTACTATTAGACTTCGCATTGTTATTAGTTTTTTTTGCATATTCTATGAGCATTTTTAAAAAGTTTATGGTCATAGAGTCATCTTAATGGTGGCGGTAATATTTATTTATTCTTTATTGCATAATAAAACTTTGTATAAGTGGCGATCTTAATGCCATATTATTATGGCATTCTCTATCTTTATTATTTATATGCAAGTTGTTAAAACAATTAAATATAGCTGCCATAATATATCATAAACATACAAAAGCACTTTTGGAATTTAATAGTATTGATTGAAAATTAATTTTAATTAGATATTTTTTTGTTTTATAACTGTATTAAATACCTATTTTAAGAATTTGAGATTATGAATGTAGGCGGTACAACAATAGGTACTTGCTAGCAATATATTCTTGTAAGGTTGGCCTCCACACGGATCCCCCTGGAGAATTGGTCGTGATTGACCTAACCTTATCATCATCTATCATCATTTACTGGTACCTTGCCGGTGTAAACCGATAGCGCAGATGGGGTTACCATAGTAGTTTTTCAACATACTTCATTAAGGGGGAAAGGGATTGTTAGCAATGGAGTTCGACATTGCTAGCAATATGCCAGGTCGACCTCCACGTGGTTCCCCCTGGAAACCATCGTGAACAATTCTTGTTGAATTCGTCACGATGGGCTAACTGATCTGCTTCATCCTCATCTATCATCCCTCACTGGTGCCCTGCCGGTGTATACCAATAGCGCGGGTGGGGTTACTATTCCATTATCACCCATTAAAAAAAAACTTCATTAGCTTAAGATTGTGGATGAAGTTTACTATGGTAATAGTCATTTACTGAAAACAAACTTAAGGCATTCCGTATCGACTGTTTTTCATTTCAACTTTTTTCACTACTTATTTCAAGTCGCCATTTTCGTGTAGTCCCAGCATAGAATTACCCATTCCTTCCTTTCCCGTGTCTGTCGAAAGAGGCGGCTAAGAGAACTTAAAAGTCGAGGGATGAACAGCAGCGTCCCTCTTAAAACATCACCAAAGCCTAACTGTGTTTGCCAATTCACCTGCCAAGCGTGGCTACTACAGGCAAAACTCTTTAAGGGCCTCTTTAAGACCTATGTTCAGCAGTGGACAGTTAACATTTGATATAATTATTACAAGTTGGTTAAGAACAACAAAGCCAACTAACCTGTAATATGGTAAAGTTCTCGAGAACGCTGTTCATCATGTACTTTTCGGGCAAGTGCTTGAGCTTGTGGATAAAGTTGATCATGTACTCGCACATGGGCGACCGGTGGATGCGGTAGACGAAGCGGCCGTTCTCGAAGCGGGCGTACTCCGTTTCCACCTTCTCCACGACTTGTTTGCCGAACGAGCACACTTTGGTAGAACACGTGATTGTCATGTTCTCGTTGCTTTCATACCTGGAACAGAGTAAGAAATCGATTCGTTCACTACTTGTGTACGTAACGTGACAATGAAGCGATGAAAGGTCATTGAACACACCTATTGTGACATACTCATAGTTCGAGAAGGGTTGGAAACAATATATTTTTCAAGGAAAGGTATTTAAACAGGTCTTAGTGAATCTGATTTTTGATGTTACTAAACATAAATATGAAAGTTGTACAAGTTATCATGGAATAGAAGATGAATGACGAATGGTAATATGTTTAGTATTTAGATCTAAACATGATTTGCGATTATTGGCCTAAGTAATTAGTAATTCTTTTTTTTTATACAACTTAGAACGGAAAACAAACTGACGGCCCACCTGATGGAAAGTGGTAACCGTCGCCTATAGACATGAGCAGTGCCATGGACATAACAGAGTAGGTATACTGTTTCGCCCATGATACCCCTCATGCGTTGCCATTCCTGAGGATCTAGATGTTATTCCTGTGTACCCTGTAAATTCACGCCATATCCCACGCAATATTCTATTCACACGATATTTGAAAAACAGACGGAAATATGTAGTAACAGTACAAAAGGTCCTTAAGTCGAAGGGAGTAAATCCTATTATTATTACTAAATGCAAAATGTGATGTTACAAATACAATACAAATACAAATAACTTTATTTTGTTTGAAAAATGGTATAAATGATGGAATATAATATTTAAATATTGATCACATTTTTCACCAGAATCTGGCGTACAAAATTTATTTAATTGTTCCACTATACTATGCTAATACTATTTTACTGAAATCGTCATATTAAATAAATGTCAGTATTAATAATAAATTATACAGATTACAAATTACAATCATTTGACAAATTACAAATTACATTAATTGAGTCACATATTTAAGCTTTAAAATATTCAAAATATTCATTAACCGAGTAGAAGCATTTTTCTATCAGCCATCTTTTCAGTTTCTTTTTAAATATATTCAAGAGTAGTGTTTTTATTTCGTCCGTTAATTTATTATAAATGCTTATTGTCATACAGTAGGCATTTCTGCTATACAAAGTTGTAGTTTTATAAGGTAGTACTAAGTTTTGAGGATTACTTGTGTTAAAATTACAGAGATCACTTTTCTTTTTAAATAAATGTAAATGTGTTCTTGCGAATATGCATACCTCATATATATATTTACATGGGACAGTAAGTACATTTAGCTCCTTGAATAATGATCGACAAGATGTACGTGAGTCAACGTTACAGATCGCATCAGGGCGATCTGTAACGTTGACTATCATTGTTTCTGTGATATAAGGGCACAGCTTGCATAATACGAGTTACCCCATAGAAGTATAGCATATCTCAAAATAGAGCTGACATAACCATGGTATGCCTGTAAAGCTGTTTCTTTATTGCTAATCCTTCTTAGTCGCCAGAGAGCATACGCGAATGAATTTACTTTATTGCATAGTTTATGAATGTGATCAGCCCAGGAACATTTATCATCCAATGAGACACCTAAAAAAGTTGTTTGTGAACTTTCTTTAATTATATTGCCTGCAAAAGTAACATTCAGTGGTTGTTTTGTCCCGTTTTTATTAATAAATTGAATATATGTAGTTTTATTATAGTTAATGTTTAAGTTATTACACTTTAGCCATTTTATTATTTTACTTATTGTTCCATTTATTTCATTATTATATGTTTCAGTATCATTGCATGGTATCACAACGAACACGTCATCAGCAAACAGTGTACAGTTATACTGTGTAACATGGGGCAAATCGTTAATGTAAAGCAGGAATAACAAGGGTCCTAGAATACTACCTTGTGGTACGCCATTTTTGTTGACTTTTATGGATGATTTGTACCTGCTAATTTCCATGCTTGAGTCAAGTTTTGATATTTCTACATATTGTTTTCTATTGGATAGATAACTGTTTATCCATTTATTGACCAAACCTCTTATTCCATACATGTGGCATTTATGGACTAATTTTTTGTGAGATACTGAGTCAAAGGCCTTACTCATATCAAAAAAGACCGCTGTGACATAGATTCGTTTGTCCAAACAAGACAAAATGTTGTCCATGAGAGAAAAGGCTGCTGATGTTGTTGATTTACCTTTTTGAAACCCATTTTGTTCCGATTTTGTTCCGATGTTTGTGGATACATCACTAATGGATGACAATTGTAAAATGTGTACCTACCTCTCAACCAGGATTTGTCATTCTGTTGCCGGCATTAAAACGTATAGCTTATTAACTGTATATATTTGAAACTATATCCCTAAACAGTATAGGTTTGTAAGGATGGATTGATGGATATTTGTTACCCTTTCACGCAAAAACTACTAAATGGATTGGAATGTAATTTGATACACGGGTAGATTATAGTCTAACTTAGCATATAGATACATTATACAATGATTCACACGAGCGGAGCCGCGGGACACAGCTAGTAATAATAATAAAATACTCACACACTAGTGACACCATAGAAGGCATTTGGGTCGTCCAAGTTATTTGTATTTAGATCCGCCCAAAATTTGACGAGGAAGAAGGCATTTCTCGGTCCCTTTTCGTACAGCTCCTTCAAGCCGCCTTTCTTCTCTGGGAATTTGTCGTTTATCTGTTGCACGTCTACAGACTGTCGAAACAAAAATTAATAGATTAGTAAAAAAATTACATTCCTAGTATGGTATCCTTACTAATATTATAAATGTGAAAATGAGATTTTTTGTTTATTACCTTATAGCGGAGAGAGAAACAGAGACAGAAAAAAAAATATAATATTTTTATTTATTACAGTGAAGGCAAATTTATTTATAAAATAAATATATACCTATATTTATATATCTTTATATTTGTAGTGATATGCGAAAATGGAATTCAGTTTTGTAACAAACAATATAATATTTATAAGGTTCATTTTTATTAAATAAAAAATGAACCCTTATTGAATAAACATAAATATGCAAATCATATATATGTATTATACAACTTATTCTACATTCAAAAACTTGCGATTATCATATTTAAATAAATGAATAATCAATAATACATCACGCAATGATAAAAAAATTACCATAAACAAACAGATCATTGTATAATAAGTACATAGTTATATGCGATCACTTTTAAATATTTAAATATGATACTGTTAATTAAGAAAATGTCTCCTTTTATTGTTATGAATGGTAAATAAGCTGCGGGACCATCTGATTGAAAATGGGAATCTTCGCATCGTTATATTTTTTTTTAATGGATGATAATGTAATGGTAACACCACCCGCGCTATCGGTATACACTGGCGGGGCACCAGTGAAGGATAATAGGTGAGGAGATGAAGTAGGTCAGTTAGCCTATCGTGACGAATTCAACAAGAATTGTTCACGATGGTTTCCAGGGGGAACCACGTGGAGGTCGATCTAATAAGGCATATTGCTAGCAATGGGGCTGTCAAACTCTATTACTAACAATCCCCTTCCCCCTTCGCATTGTTATACTAGGTACATAAACAGTAACTTGTACATCACAGAAAATACTGTGACGACAAGGCCACCACAATAAATTCCAGATACTACTCTGGAGGGAAAGGGTTTGTTTGAGTCCTAACAATCTTATTGCTAGCAATACACTTTAACAGGTCGACCTCCACGCGGTTCCCCCTGGAAATCATCATACTCGTCGAATTCTTTACGATGGGCCAATTGACTTGTCTTCATCCTCAATTACCATCTACCACTGGTGGCACGCCAGCGTATACTGATAGCGTAGGTAGGGTTACCATTCCATTATCATAAATAAAAAAATATATACTACTCTAGAGATTGATTTAGACAAGAGAAATCACGCTTTGTAGTGACGGACAATCCCAAAATAAACAGTAAAGTAATAACTAAGTAAAAACTCACCTCTAATAAGGGATCTGCATATGTGACCGTACCACCTATATGTACAAACAGATGTTGTGCTGACGCTGTAAACTGAAAAAGATGAAACAACACAATATATATATATATATATATATATATATATATATATATATATATATATATATATATATATATATATATATATATATATATATATATATTATATATTCTTTATTGCACTAAAACATACAGTAACAACAATATGTTAATAACAATGTTAGCAAAGGCGAACTTATCTCTAAAAGAGATTTCTTCCAGTCAACCTAACACAGTGGCATAGGAAGTAGTGAGTGGGCAGTAGTAGTGCAAGACAGAAATTTAAATAAATATTTACATAAATTAATATAATTCAAATTCAGATTAGATATAGACCCGTGAGTATCATAAGAGAAGATTAAGGGAACTTAATGGTCTTAATGACGAAGTTAGAAGAGAAAAGGAATGAGTATGAAATACTTTAAATTTTTAAACAGACTAGACTTTTGAAACAATACGACATGGGACAGCTAAATTGAGGATACATGAACTAATTACTTTAATACGAGGAAACTCTTAAATTGCAATGAATTATCTTATGGAAAGGATTCCGTGTTTAGCAGTGGATTGTTAATGAAGCAGGAATACTTACTGTGTCTGGGTCCCTGTGGTCAACGAAGGCAGAGAATTCCACAAGTCTAAGTTTGTGTGTGGCGATAGCTCTGTCCTCCCAGGGAGGTGGTGGCGCTACGTCCGTACCACTTGGCACGCCGACACCGGGGACTCCAGGGACACCCTTGTAGCCGGCGGCGGGGAAAGGTTTCACACTGCAAACGTAAAGTTCGTATCTTTACACACTAATGTTTATAAATATTAGGTATGAGCGTTATTGCCAAAATATTGATAATGATATCGTAAGCAGAAAATCGAAATTTAAGCATTTAAAAAAAAAGTCATTATACGCTCACAAAACTACAGGTTTACTAATATGGATCAATATTTTAGGAAAAATATCTATCTATATGTTGTCATTTTTCCTAAAATGTTGATATTGCGATATTTTGAAAATACCAGTATTAATATTAAAATATTTTGGTATTTCATCATCCCCACAATTGAAAAGTCTATAAAGACTTTCTATTTGAATAATTGCTGCTCAATCACAGCCAAACGGAATGAATATATTATATCTATAGACGTGGACTGTTGCTACTGTTTATGCGAATCGGTAACCCTCTCTTAGAATAACTAAATGCCCTTTAAAAAATTAAAATGTTTTTTCTTCGAGATAGATTTCCAGTGCTATTGATGCCAGCAAAAAAAATTAATATGACTATGATATAAAAGTCTCGTGACTGCGATAGAGACAAGTTTATTTCTCGAAAATTAAAATCTTCAAACTATTGGTGTGTGACTACATTCTATTAAATAAAGTTGATGGTTCAAATTTTAAAACTATTAAGTAATAGTTGTTTCCTTTAATAAAACGTTTAATAAAACTATTAATGTCAAATATTTAACAGATTTATAAAGCGTTCGAAGTTTTTATGAATAAAGAAGTTACGATATTATGTGTTTCAATAAATCAACAAAATTATTCAATAATTATATAATTTGGTGATAAATACTTACTCATGAGAGGTACCAGCTTGTAAGCCTGGTTGCCAAAATTGCTGAAATAAGAAAGAATATTATTAAGTATATTGTATTGACATGAAAGAAGGACGATGATGCAAAGCTTTTTCTGTTGTTACATAGCTCAGTGTTAAAGTAACCAATTATTCTACACACGTATAGAAGCGCACATAGTTTTAGTTCCAAAATATACGATTATATGTATTTTGTGAAGAATATATTTAACTATGAATTTTTATGCCTTATTTACACGCATATTTGAAGCTTTGAACAATAGTTTTTTTTTTTTAATAATTTCGAATTGTGAGCAATCCGTCATTTGACAGTGCTAAGTAGACTTGAATCACTTTAGGAATGATTATAGTGAAGATAGTTGAACGACAGAGGCTTTAGTTTAGCAGTGCATTGATTTCTCTGTTACTTAGTTATTTTTAGCCTTATTTTTTCAAAAGTCTAAAGTTGCAGTTGTATAGAAACTTTAACACCACGACACAGTACGAATAAACATAGAATCAATTGTGAGTAAAGCAAATTCAATCTTGTCCTAGGTTATTATAGTCTAATATCACATGCCCGAGTAGAAGCTGCATTATTTAAGACTAGACTTTGAGAACCATTTATTTCTCAAACGTACAACGAGATCCGAAACACCTTCATTTTTGACGAATGAAAAATAAATGGATCTTTGGCCAGTATTTAGCTAACGGCAATGAGAGGTAGAAATTTCTAGTATTAAAATATATGCCTAAAATACGAAAATAATAAAACGATAACCTTAGCAATAAAATTAAACAGGTTGCCGTCAATCTGACATAGTAGGTATAAATTTGTTGTAAAATTTATTTTAAAAATGATATTTACTTGCAAGCACAGAAAAATTACAAAAGTAAGTACCTCTTATTGTTGTTAACAGGATGGCTCAGTCCAGCCCCCCTATACATATTGGCAAACAAATCTATCGATAGAATGGTTTCGATTAGTGCTTGCATGAGACAGAATAAGACAATGGACGCTGCCATCTCTTTCTATCTCATAGACTCGTTAGCGATAACGGTTCTATCAATAGATTCGTTTACCATTCGTCTAAAGGGGCAGGCTAGTTTTAGTTTATCGACAAGAAACACTAAGGCATGCTTTTCGCAAGTTAACTACCGTGTGATGATACGCGGGATGCGGCAACCCTGCTACGATCTGAGCGCTAGACAGAGTGCTCATCGACTGCATGGCCTTTTCCTTCATCACACCACCGTCCTAAGATGTCATTTATTTGTTTGTTTATATATTGTGCTTCAATTTATTCAGTTTGAAATGGATTGTCAATTAGTGTTTCCATGTACTTTCCTACGTGCTATAACAGACAACTTTGAGTTGTAATGTTTTTAAAGATCGTATAGCGGATATTGTAAGCTGATTTGAATTTTGGGACACGCTTCCATTCATAAAACGTTTGTAATGTAATACACAAAAAAAGTAGTTTTTGTGTGCGCTTAGCTCCGTATTAACTTGACAATACTCGTATAACACGCGCCATGTTGGTATAGGAGGTTCAAAACTTTTTGTCGTTTTTCGAGCGTTGTTTTTTTGGAAACATGTAAAGCTTCACTGTTAGAACTTTAAAAGGGTGCTAATGATTTCAAATTCAATCTCTACACATGGGCAGTGTAAATAAATTAGTCAAACTTGAGTAGAAATCTTTTTTCTTAAAATTTCTTTGCATATATTATTCATAACAATCTTTTATATAAATTGAATTTAAATTAATTCGTTTAGAAGCTAGAAGCAGATAGACAACCATACAGTTGTTTCGAATTGAGCCATTAAAATAAAATTTCTAAACATCTATTGAAAGACGAAGGATTTTTATAAAAACTACAGCGCGAATATTAAGCGAAATATGAAATAAATGTAGGTAAACGTATTCCGCTTAAGCTTTGCTGCGTAAGCTGCTATCGTTGCTGACTATACCATAGATATTGCCCTAGTAACACGTCGCCGGGTAACTTTAAACTTTATAGTTCTGTAACATTAGACTTAAATAAGATTACACATAAAGTATTTACTCACCACTTTCAATTTCGCCTGAATTTCCCGTAGTTTTCGCCTCGCTAGCACCTGTATGTGAGACGAAACTTGTTTTCTTGTGCGGGTTTTTCCTGTCCTTAGCTTAATATATCTTGCTATTAGCTCGTTTCTTCCTGTAAAGAAATATATACGAGTGAATTAATTATGTGAATCTTGATTATCAAAAGCTTTAGCAATGTTTGATATTTTACATGATTTTTCGTGTTGCTAAAATTCTAATTAAAAGTACAAATTACGGTATATAATCAATCTATTAACATTTATATTGGTTTTCATATTTTACTAAAATTAGTATAATTTTACCATATGAACTAGAACCAGGTTATTAATTTTCTTATAATTTTATATTGTATGGATGGTTAACATTGTGCTATAAATATTTATATAATCTATTCTTTTTATTTTTATTTTAACCATTTATATAACCGGTTGAAGTAAACACTATTGTTAGAAACGATAAACACAATAATTTAATTAAATTGCCGTTATATCTATGTATTCTTTATTAATTTATTTTCATATACCTAACCGTTGCAGTATTTTAGAAAAGGAATCAATACAAAGAAACGAATAGGCAAAGCAGGCACGGACCCCTTTAATTTCGCACAGTTAAGTTAATAAAAAGACACAAAATCATGTTCCGATTGACATTGCCCGCGAAATGTTTCGCATAGCTGGTACAGACACGGCGCAATGCAATGTGGCGCGGGCCGCAGCGGATCCGTTATGAAACAATTTTCAAATTATTTTGAATAGCTATTTTCAATCGTTGAAACAGCACTCCGACTGGAATGCGGGGATGTTTGAAGGCGGCGGCTGTTGTGATTTAATTTTAATAAAGCTAACTAACAAGTTTTGTTCGATTTATTTTTGTTTGCTTTTTGATGGTTTCTATTTATTATATGTTTTTTTAATATTTGTTTAATATCTATTTTTGTATTTGTTTATATTATAGCTAGTAATGCACAACAATCATCTCTTTTAGACTAGGGTATATATATGTATATCTATATATTGTAGTTACAATATTTACAAACTGGTCCAATTACGAATATGTTTAATGACTGTTAGCCAAAACCTAATACTGGATAATAGACATGTTCGAAAATAGATATCCAATTGATATGGGCGATATCGAAATGGATGATGACTTTTTTTCCCCATCCAAATTCCTCTGAACCCAATATATAGATATCCGATAGGTATCCATATTATCCATGCCTACCGATTTTAGACATCCTAGATACTGTGTCAGTTTTGTGCATAATTAGCTGTTAATCTAATGATTATAATCTATTTATTTACCAAATCTATTGAATTGTTTAAACATAATTGAGTAATAAACATTAATTGCGAGATTAGTAAATAATAAGTTTTTTTTTTTATACAACTTAGAATGGCAAACAAGCTGACCGCCCACTTGATGGAAAGTGGTAACCGTCGCCTATAGACATGAACAGTGCCATGGACATAACAGAGTATACTGTTTCGCCCATGATACCCGCCATGCGTTGCCATTCCTGAGGACTCAGGTGTTATTCCTCTGTACCCTGTAAATTCACGTCATATCCTACCCTTCAAACCGAAACACAATCATGCAAACACAACTGCTTCACGGTAGAAACACGAACGGGACAGAGGTACCTAAGCAATCTACTTTTGTACAAACTCTCCCTCTGGTTTTCTTTCTTATTATTTTTTTTGAATGGCAAACAAGCTGACGACCCTTCTGATATGCATGAAGAATATCAAAGTATACTGTATTGCCTATGATTTCCTTCATACGTTGCTGTTCCTGAGAGTTAGGGTGTTGTTTTTTATTATTTTTACAACTTTTACATTATGATATCTTCTCATAATAGTTTCTTTGTTTATTATAACTAATCGTGAGACAGTATTTTATCCCCGTCAATTAATATTTTTCGTCCACACAGTCGTGAACACAATTTGTCAATTCTTGCTAATATTATTAATGTAGATTGCGAGTCTTTTTATTAGTCATGCAATTTAAAGTACGTATGTAATCGTATCTATGCAAGAAGGAATACGATCAAATTTATTATTTGTTCCATTACCACTTAATGTAAACTATAAGACAATATAGTGATATCCAATAGCAGTACAAATAAAAAGAATAAAGTTCGCCCGATTTGTTACTAATTTCTTTTCATCATCATCATCACATCAGCTATTAACTTTCTCTGCTGAATAATGGCCTATCCCTTTTGAAGAGTTTTGCCAGTAGTTGCCAGTTTGTCAGGCGGATTGGCAACTGCGGTTAGGCTTTGGTGATGTTTAAAGTGAGTTGCTGCTGCCCATCCCTTGATCATTAAGTTCCCTTAGTCGCCTCTTACGACACTCACGGGAAAGCAAGGAGTGGCCTATTCTATGCTGGGACTATATACCGATAGTAACTTCTTTTACAGTATTTTTGTGATAATTTCAATAAAACTTGGTTGAAAATTATTAACGTACGTATAAACAGGATGTTTCTATATTAATATATGTATTAAAGTGGACCGTTTAATTGTGATTATTGGACCAGTTTAATTAGAGTAATAGTTTATTAATTCGTGAACAAAATGGAGGAGTCGACCAAAGTAAATTGAAATCTCATTGAATTCGGGGAATGCGGTGGCGACGGGAGTCTGGTGACTGGTGCGAATTTAATTAACCCCTGCCTCGCCCGTTGAGGCGTGTCGAGTGCGTGTGTCTAGTTGTTCATATGCGAACTGTTAGGGCCAATTTGTATGTCAAAGGACGTTTGACAAACGACCAAGATCAACTTACTCGCCGTTGTACCAAAATACATGCCAGTAAACATGTGTTTGCGGTATGTATTTTAAAAGCGATTGTGATATATAATATAAACTAAAATTGTTTTTTGAAAGATACTTAAAATTTAAACAATCTGATAGCTTACTTAATGGAAAGTGGTAATCGTCACTTATAGACATAAATAGAAATATGGTTATTACAGAATATACTTCCTAAATACTACGATATTGTCTCTGTATCCTGTAATTTTACTGCTATATTTGTATATCATCCGCCAAGCCAAACACAAACAAACAAGAGTAGCTGCTTTAAGGCGTCAACACAAATGAGACGGAGGTACAGTGGTAAGGTAAGGCAGACATTTTTTGTACAAAGTTCTAAACATGTATGACAATATTGTATAAAACTTGTTGTAGAATAAACGCTCAAGATACATATGTCGGTTGTACAGAAGTTGTTACCATCTCAAATGCAAATTCAATTTTGAAGAAAACGTCTGTAGTTGTCAGTCAGTATATGTTAATTTAGTATAGAGTTATAAGACATATAATAGAGTTATAGATACAACATATAAAACCAGTCAGAAAAAGCAGACTTGAAGACTTTTAAAACTTCTAAATAAATAATAACATTATAGAATCAAACACCTAGGGCTTCAGAGATTCGATCGCGACATTACAGTCACTAAACCAATAAGACGTCTACAATTTTATTACTTGAGATAATATTAAATTCAAATTTAGAGAGAGTACAAGCTTGAGAAACAAACTCTTGAAGACTGTTAAGTCGAACATTCCTGAAATTGCTACGAAATTATGGCACCATCGTAAACTTTTCACGGCGGGTGTTAAGCTAAAATTAGTAAGTGTGGCCACTCTAATAAATTGCTGTTAACACAAATTAGTAAAGAGAATAAACATGTTATACTTTCTAGCCGTAACATCTTAGTGACACGGCGCGCCCGCGAATTGAGCATTAAGAGTGCTTTCACCCGAACAGTCGTGTGCATCCTCCTATAAATAGTACGGTGCAGAGGATCAACTCGAAACATTTCTATTCCACAGTGAATAGAAAAACAAGAGATCATTATTTATTAGTTGGTTAGTTAGCTAATTTGGTCGACGGCCAGCGGGACGCGTCGCGCGACGCTACGCTCTCGCGCACTCTCGCGAAGTAGTTATGTATCCACGAGATGTGCGTGCGCGCCGCACCCGCTTATAATGTATGGAATATTAACCAATTTCTACAATATACTTAGCATTTAGATCACTTCGCATTCACTAATTGCAAATTATGAAAGCAATAAAGCTTAAATGTACCACGATTACTTTATACCACCTATAGGTATTGTGTTTTAATAGGTGTTTTTCCAAACGTAATTTATTCGACAACTGGGGAGATATTGGAGATCCATCAGAAATACATTAACGTAGTACCGGAGCCATGATCTCGCGATTGTTTTCTCTCTAGGGTTTGACGCGTTTAAAAATATTTTTATTGAAAAGCACATTATATAAAGCTAGAAGGAATTTACTTGCAAATATAATAAAACGCATATTTTTAAGAAATTCTTTTAGTCGTTGATTTAAAGTGGATATAATACAAGTTAATAAATTTATATTAACTTACATTACTATACAATTTAATAGTGCGTTGTTTAAGTAAAGTCATTCATTAAGTAGTAGTTAAGATTCATGATTACGAACGAGCCTATGAATAAAAAGTTGCAGGACATAAATGGCGCAAGCGAGCAATAATATTCAGGCGGCAGGGACTTTACTATATTTCTTTTTTTTATGCAATTTAGAATGGCAAACAAGCTAACGGTCCACTTAATGGAAAGTGGTAACCGTCGCCTATAAACAGAGCATGAGCAGTACCATGGACATAACAGAGTATACTGTTTCGCCCATGATACCCCCACATACGTTGTCCTGAGAGCTCAGGTGTTATTCCTTTGTACCATGTAAATTTAATCAAATCAAAATGTCAATCAAAAATTCACATTAAAATTTCGTCAGTTGACTTAAAATATACGTTCTATTTTGAAATTATCTTGTGGACTCTACTAAATAATTTGCTTTTACTAACTAAAATGTTTCAAACAACGCATGAATTTTTCTAATTGAATACACACGCACCTCATGTGGAATATTACTTGTCAATGGAAAAGTGACAAAGATATGTCTGATAAAGGATACATTAGAATTTGAGTGAAATATGGGAGACGTAGCTGAAATTCACGCTGACCCAAACAGAAGCTATGCGAGGAGTCGCGGAAAGGGTTGAGTTGCGACGGGTCTAAGGAGGATTTCTCGGGAGACAATCGGGAGTT